CCCTAAACCCTAAGCCCTAAAACGCTGAGGCTCTAAACCCTCAGCTGTGTAGCCCTCATTCCGGGCGCCGAGACTGCAGGACGCTCTGGAGCGCCGCGACGTGCCAAAGCTGCGCGAGGCGGCCTGCGTTGCCGTAGGCTGTGGAAGCCTTTCTTTGAATGCTTGCTGTAAAGGTTATTGAAGGTTATTGCAAGGGTTACTGTGATAATGAGAGGGTTTTCCTTTAATGCAGACCCCTGATTACTACGTCCCTGTCTGCCAGGGCCTCATAACATTACATGTTTCTGCTCTTATGGGTCTACACTACACGAATCGAGGATCCGATGCAACTGGCAGTTCCCTACACTTCGATCTGCCGAAAGCCCTCCACCATCCCCACTGCCCGAAGTTCAGTGTGGGTCAGAGCCCAGGGCACCTTTCATCGTTATACGAACCGTAAGAGTGCTGCCTGGCTGCGCGCTGTCGACCCAAATTCTCGGCGATGTGTCGATGCCTCCGGAATACTCGTCGGGTTGGAACAGAGTTGTTTGGAGGTCCACCTATGGATGCAAGCTTGTCTTATTGTCTGTGGGGTGAAGAGGGAGAGATCGGCAAAGTGCTGCTTTTGTTGAGAGCAGTTTACGACGAAAGCAAGGAAGTGCGCGGGTAGATTTGCATGCTTTCCGAAAATTGGGTGGTGGATTGCGGTGGTTGGTGTTTGGATGATTCGGACGCCAGCCAGCAGCAGGTCTGCGCGGCCATTTCAATCCAGCTTCTCTGCAATACTCTGCAATACTAGTAGGGCCTTCCTCTTGTCCATGGCCTCCGAGGCCTCGTGTTGGGGTGCTCGATTCAAGAATGCCCCTTGATACCCAGGCCATGAGCGACATGAGCAAAGACGGTCCGAAGAACATTGACGGTGCCGAGGAGGCCAAGAAGATGATCAAGAGGTGCCCTGCTCACCTCGCGCATTGGGTCATCTGAAACAGCTACTTGGAGGTGCATGGGTAGTTATAAGTGGGGTTATAAGTAGGGTAGCTATAGTTATAACTCATATTATGGGAGGTGTCCCCCCTTACGTCTCTTCACAGCCCGAGCCTTTATCGTGCCTACTGAAAAGTGTGTCTTGTGCCAGGTACCAAATCCGAGCACGGGCATTGGACCACGCAGTCGGGGAAAGGAAGATCTCCTCTATCCAGGCAGCTTCCTTCAATGCGCTTGGGTCGGCCCTTCTAGTGTTCCGAGCCACTGGCATGACAGGCTGCATTGGCGACATGGGACTTCAGCCGCGACGATGTGCATGCTGTCAAGGCTTGGCAGCCATAGTTGGGCGTAGCACGGCGTAGCATCGTGATTTTCCCCGACTACTTCTGACAAAGGCGTGTGCATACCATGCAGGCACGCCAGGCCATTGCCCGGCGTGATCAGCAGAAGCAGAAGTTGCAGGCAGCCGCTCGGGAACCTAGTGCAGCCCGCATGCAGTCGCCAGATACCAAAAGTCTGTTCGCGCGCCTCCGGGGGTGAAGTCTTAATGAAGTCGTAATCTTGTGGATGCAGTGAGATGCGTCGGTGAAGAGCCACCTGGGTGAATAAGGTCCTGCGCAAAGATGGCCCTCACTTGCAGCAGGCGCAACCAGAGCATGCAGGGTTCCTCAGGCAATCCACCCCCTACGGCATGAAGGCTTTAGTATGCTGTAATTGTGCGATCTGCTGATGTTGATGCTACAAATCTTCCAATGTTCCGAGTCTCAGGTCAGCAAGTTAAGGAAACAAAAAGGAGTGCTGCGACCGCGGCAGAGTGGAAACCTCTGCGTCAGCATTGAAAGCTTGTCACCAAAGCAAACTCCTTTTCTAGTAGAGTATAGTAAAAATATAGTATAGTATAGTATAGTATAGTATAACTATAGTATAGTATAGCATAGTACAGTACAGTATAGTATAGTATAGTATAGTAAAGGTATAGTTTCGGAGTTCTAGACAGGGAGCCTGCTGGTCATCCTCAAGACGGTCGGGGAATCTCGCATCCTCAAAGCCTTTCTCAGTTGATCATGTCCATTCTCGTTGTCGGTGTGATCGTGATCGCCTTTGCCTGGTCATCAGTCATCAGGAGGGTTTGTTACGAGGGAACTTGGCTTGTAAAGGGGTTTCCATTTTTTGTTATAGGCGTCTCGTTTAACCGCCCTGCCGCAGGTCACTCAGGAGTGGGAGTTTGACCGCACCGACGAGGACTCAGCTGCCCTGCTCGACGCTGCTTCCATTCGAAAGCTCCAGAATTGCAGGACTACCAACAGGCTATGGCGGCCTTGCGTCGTTACGACAAGCTGGTGGAAGACGTCGAGAGGCCACTTATGTCGGTTCCAGAAGGTGTATGGTCAGAGCTTGAAAAGTACCAGTAGCCGGTCTTATTTATATATATATATATCAGTTACGGTATAGTATATCATAGTATAGTATAGCCGAGTATAGTATAGTTCCAGCCCAGCTCTAGCCCAGCGGTCAAAGCGTTGGAGGCTCATGGGACCGCCAATGGACATAGTTGCTCTGGCGTGCTGCTGCCTTGTTTCTGGGGTGTAGGGGTTAGGGTACAAAGCAGAATGCTGCTACTGGCAGCTCTTCTTCCTTCCATGTCAGCCTCCTGCTGCCAAACAGGAATGTGCTGGACAACTGGGAGTGGTCCAAAGGTGCCAAGAAAGGGCTTTGAAGCAGCTGTTGTCGACCACTTTGCTGGTGAAGTCCTCTACACCCTAAACCCAACCCTAACCCCAAACCACCCTCCTTGCTTCGGCCTGTGCAGATGACCCAGTCCACCTCGCTACCGAAAAGAAGATCGCAGAGCATGAAAATGCCGCGGCCTTGCAGCAACCTGCTCGAAAGGGATCTAGAAGGGCTCCTTATGGGGTTTGACGGCTCATGGTTTTGCGCCGAACGTTGCGCTGCAGAACACGACATGCAGACAACCCTGTGTTTGCCGTGTGATACTGCCGCTTAGACAGCAAACTCTGCGCGCCCTCCGCGCGAAAGCGCCTCCGTAATGTAGATCCCTTCCCACAGAGCATCCATGTCCCACCATGATAATGTCCAGCACCCATTATAACGTCCACACAGACTCCATCCCTTCCCATGGAGCATCCATGTCCCAACCATGATAACAGATGCGCTTCCGCATATAATATACAAGATTGTTGCAGACATAGGTCTGCAGATTGGCGCAATCACAACAGTTGATTGCGGATACGTGCAGCTGAGGGGACGTGCAGCTTAAGAAAACTGTTCTCGCAACGGCACTCCGACCGAGAGGATGTAGTTTTGAATAAAATGTCATCCTGACATAAAAGCTTCTGTTAGCCGTCGCAAAGACGATTCATACGGTATTTACGAAGGTCTCCTACTTTCCAACATACTTGGTCTTATGGGTGCGCGGCAAGACGCACGGTCGGAGCGTGTTTTAGGGATTTAGGGTTTAGGCTTCTTTAAAGGTTTCCTTTTAAGGGTGCTAAAAGATAGAGTTAGCCTTGCTGGTTTAAGTGTATGGCACCATGCAAACACCACGCTGGTTCAACCTGTCCTAAGAGTTCAATCCCAGCACGCCACTCGGCATCCCCATCCTAAGAAGGCATCCTAAATAGATGTAATCCTGGGAAGAATCCTCAACCTCCATCTTAACTAGGTAAAGAGATTAGAGAAGAGTATGATCAACAAAAACAATGGCGAGTATCAAATACAAAAAGACGGATTAAATTGTTTGCCTTGTAGATGCATGCGTAACGCATCGCGCAAAGAGCCAAAGACAACAGTTGTAAATTCCGGCCGCGGTGTTACCCAGATGGTCAACACGTATCCAAAATAAATGAAGTGGCTGCGGAGAAGTGGCAACAGCTAACACCGGATGGAGACAAACCGGGAGAAGGCTAGCTCCAGAAGTAGCCAGAGACAGCATCGAGAAATTTTGAAAAGCAGGTGGAAGAATTGAAAGCTTCCAGAATGAGCAGTATGTATTGTGACTTGCCAGAGAGGCAAACAAACACCTTGAAACAAAAAATAATATCAACAACAATGCAAATAGTACTACAGTATTAGCATAATAATACCAGTAATGACAGCAACAATAGAGCAGAAAATAGCTGCTTTTCTGGACCACAAACAGTCAACCATGCATTAATGCTTCTAGGAGGTGTTATCGTTGGAAGCAAGCGAAAGACACTTGTTGTTTCTGCGGTAGCTATCGTGGTGGTAGACTTGCGCGGAATGTTTGCTGTCCAGAATCAATGAGCCCGCAATCTTATGCATTTAGCTTCTGATGCAAACGATTTAAAGAGGCAATTATCGCCATTGTTTGTTAGAAGTAATGGGCGACGAATTGCAAGACTGTTGTGGGTGTAATCGTGGTAATAACGGAGAAGACTTCGGAGGTTTCTTGACTTGCAACCGGTGTCGAGAATATAGGGGATGTTGCCACGAAGGGAACAGAGAGGATATCAACAGATAGCAAGGTGAGAAGACAGCGAAGAACAGGGCATTCAATTGTCAAGGATGTGACCCCGCAATCGACGAAAAGCATTTAGCGGGAAATGTGCAGGAACAGCCACGAAACTATATGCTTACACCCAGAGAAGGGTCAAGGAAATTGTTGCAAGAGTTCTAGAGTACCAACTCCAAAATATGGAGAGAATTACCAGAAGCAACTAAAAACGATGAAGTTGGAATGAATCATGCTTACTCAAAGTTCTCTGGAGATCACGCGAGATTCGCCACATCCGCCGCAGTTTCACCTAATCACAGAGTTATAACCTTACATCTTCTATAAGAACTTCTACATTATGCTTGCATGAGAAGCTCAACCCTTAATCCCAAAGCCCCAGCCAAATTCGACAAGGAACTCCTTGCCTTCTCGGGTGTATGGCACATGGACGTCAGGATAAACATATTCTCACATCTTGGTCTTGAGACGTTGGGGCGGGGGGGTGGGTGCCGTGCACTACACAGGCAAAGCCAGCTCAAACTCTCCAAGGGCACTGCAAGGTGACTATTGCGGGGGATATACTGGTACGATGCTGTGGCGTCAACCCTAAACCCTGTAACCTTAAACCATATAACCCCAAACCGGTGTCACGAAATCTCGAGTGCAAGTAGCCGTCCTTTCCATGCTGAGGCGGCGCGGAATGCTCTGCAAGCCAAGGTGGGGGACGGACCCAAAACATCCCTAAACCCTAAAAACCCTAAGCCCAAACCGTACACTTTTAAAAATGCAAAAAAAATGAATCTATACTGTAGGGACTTTTGATAGCTCAAGTCAAGCCCGAGCGCCCCACACCCCCCTTGAGCTTCGCGGTGCTTTTTGGAGGATGGCTGGAAGTTGCAGCGAGTGCGGAGCCCAGTCCCTGAGAGTTTTGGAGGTTTGGGGTAGGGGGGTTTTAGGAATTTTTTTGGGAATTTAGAACCCTAAACCCTTGAAGCCCTAAACCCTTAAACCCCTAAACCCTTACACCCCTGAGCCCTAAACCCTTAAACCCCTAATCCCGAAAACTCTTAAGCCCCTAAACCCTAAAACTACTATAGGGCTTTTGGGGACCTGGCAGCGTGCTCTTGCCGTCTGTCGACCAAGATCTGGCAGTTCAACGATGTGAAGAAGAAAGGAGATGGGTTGAGGGGCTCAGGGATTTCGGGGGTTTAGAGTTTAATCAGGGGTTTATCGGGGTGTAGGGCCCTTTAGGGGCTTAGGGTTCACTCGCTGTTAGCGGGGTCTTCGAGCTTGCGAGATTTTCTCAGCTCCGAGCAGAAGTCGACCCCTCCAGCTGCTATGCCCTATATGCCTTCAAGAACCCAGGAGCCGCCCCGTCCGTGCTACAGCAGCAGATGGCCGGGATCAAGTGGAAAGCAACGGCCCTGCTCTTAAAATCAGCCTGGGCCTCGTCAGAGTCAGCAAGCCTCAGAAAACAGGTGGCGAAGAACCGCTACAGAGAAGCGACGCACGCCCTGCGTTCTGAGCTCGGACAGCAGTACTTCGTTGCGGGTTGAGGGGCCGCACCGATTTTGTTTGGCCTCTTTTTGCTCTGAGGTGAAGCGATCCGTGCCGCAGTGGAGGAAGCGGAATTCATGCGCACGGAGGCCGTGCAAGAGGCCCGGCTCTGAAATGAATTCGAGCGAATGTGTGTCGTACGTGGTTCAGGAATTTAGTTTAGGGTTTAGGGCCTAGTTTAGCGTTTCAGTGGCTGCTCGCATTGCGGGGCAGGTCCAGGTGCCGGGAGACGAGGACGCCTTGCAGGCTCCGCAGGAGAATGTGCTCATGAGCCTGGCACGGCAGCGAACTTGGAGATCCTATAGGAGCCTAAAGAACTACCAATACTATTTTCGGGGTTCCTTATTATAGGTATATCATATTATAGTATAATATACACCAAAACCCTATTCTAATTATTTCAGGCTTCTACATTATGCTATGTGTTCCATTGCTACTGCTTCTTGCTTGGGCCGCCACCAAAGGTTCTCCACGACGGGCCTTCCGCCCAAAGAGTACGAGCTGCGGACGCTCGTGCCAAGCTCAGTGCCGGTGGTGTGCTTCGGCCAAGAGGTTGCGCCGTGGATAAAGTTATGCCCGTGCAGGTGGACAACTGGCCCTTCAGTCTCGACGACCCCACTTTGCAGATGGCAGACGCCTCAGCTTTGCGGAATCGATCCTCAGGTTTCAGCAGAGCTTCCTTCTAAGGCCTCCTGCTGGGTGGCTTCCAGAGCCTTGCTGAAGGTGCAAAGTGCAGAAGCACTGAAGCCTCGCAGAAAAGTATCAATACTCCCTATATAAGCCTAAATCCTAAGCCCCTAAGCCCCTAAGCCCCTAAGCCCCTAAACCCCCAAGCCCCCAAGAAACCTCTCGGAACCTTGGGCTGGCTGTCAGACCTGCTCGCTCCGGTATTTGGACATCGCACTACACGGCGGGCACACGGTGAGCATCACGAAAGCCGGAACCTTACAGGCTAGTCTCGCAGCCACAGCTTGGACTCCCTGAGCTCATAATTTCTATGGTGCAATCATGTCAATAATTATGTGTTTTACAATCTGAGTACTTTAGTATAGTCTATGTTCTACAATCTAAAAACTTCAGTATATTCTATATTCTACAATTCTACAATCTAAATACTTCAGTATAGTCTATGTTCTACAATCTAAATACTTCAGTATATTCTATATTCTACAATTCTACAATCTAAATACTTCAGGATGTTCTATATTCCACAATCTACATACTTCAGTATATTCTATATCCTACAATCTAAATGCTTCAGTATATTCTACATTCCCTAAACCCTAAACCCTAAATTCACTATTCTCCCGCTTCTTCTGCTGACGACCCCTGCGGGCGGTTTTTTCCGAGGCCCTGGGCCGCGCATCTGCTGTGGCAGCCAGAGCCTCGCCGTTCCCGCAGTCTAAAAACCCTAACAAGCTCTCACTTTGGCATAGCAAAGTCGAGTATAGTATAGCATAATTAATATGCAGTGTAGTATAGTATAGTATAGTATAGTATAGTATAGTATAGTATAGTATAGTATAGTATAGTATAGTTAGTGTAGTATAGTATAGTATAGTATAGTATAGTATAGTATAATATATAGTGTAGTATAGTATAGTAAAGTATAGCTCATTTTACCATAGTCTAGTAAGCCCTTAGCCCTAGACCCCTCCCAAAAAAAACTCAGTCTCGAAACCCCGGAGTCTTGAACCTCAAAACAGGGACATCCTGCTAGTCTCCAAGGTACCTCCTCGGATCTACCACAAGTTCATCAAGCTTCCTGAGAACATTCTGCGCGGCAAGGCGGCGTCTGCATTGCCTGGCGCTAAATATCAACCCCGCATACTGTACGGCCGGTATTTGGGGATTTGTTTGCCGGCACAAAAGTTGCAGTATCAAAAACCCTACATCAAAGGTCTGCGTCCATGTTCCCTGCAGGAAGAGGCCCTGATGCGAGAGGCCACGATGCAGGCTGTGGGTGCCATGAGTCTCGGAGCCTCGGCTGGAAACCCTGGAGCCTTAATTTGAGGAAGTTGGAGCTTCTGTCGTGAAGGAAGAGACTAAAGCCCTGAACCCTTAAGCCCCTAAAACCCGATGCCCTAAGCCCCAAACTGAAGCCTTTTCTGTTGCAACAGCTCCCCATTTCCGAACCCCTTATGGAGCGAGATCCGAGGTGTAGAGCCGGATGACCTCATGATGGTCCGGGCCCTGGCTCAGTTGCAGAATACACATGACAGATTACAGATCATGCAGTGCCGTTGTGATAGAACACAAATCATGTCTCAACTTTTGCTCCGAAACCTTACATCTTACATCATATTTTTTTGTACCTCACACCTGGTAACTGTCTTTTATGGTATGATTCATATAGTTGCAGATTCCAAGTTATACCACGCACATGTGTATATATATATATACATGTACGCTATGCACTAGATGTTAGGTGTTATATATTACACATATAACATTTCTTGATGTTATATGTTACATGGCTCGTGTTTTGTGCTATATGCTCTGTATATATATATATGTTATATGTCACTTGGTAGAGACGGTATAGACCGTATACGATTGCATATTGCATATGATATGTGTTACATGTTATATCTTGTTCTTATGTATCTCTCGCTCTCTCGCTCTCTCTCTCTCTATATATATATATACATATATATATATACATACATATGTATGGATATATGGATGTCATCTTATCTGTATGGTCTGATATCTATGGTCGATTATCGATTACTTTCCAGTGTTGTTTGTGTTCGACTGTTGCGAAGGCCTCTGCATTTGCGAAGGAGCTGGCGGACAAGGTAGATCTATGCCAGTGTAACTGGCCAAATGCTTGCTGCATGTCGCTGTCATGCTTCCGTGAGATGCATCGATAGCCGGAGGATGCTTGAGCCTAAACCCTAAACCCTAAACACATAGAACCTGCAGGCCAGGCTCGTCCGCATGGCGGTGTCCTGCGTCGAGGCAGGCTCTCACAGACTTCGACTCAAACTGGGCGCCTCGAGACCGTCGCCACCTTTCGCAGTTTTTGTCGAGGCAGGTCGTATCCCCACGCTTCGTGCGGCCTCAAAACCTCCAAGGCCGGCAGGATTCGATGGCGAGATGTGCCGTAGCTGTGCAGCTGTTCCGACTAGCTTTTCTCTCCAGGGTGGTCCATGGTATCATGGAGACGATCTGCCATTGTGTCGCTGGTATTCACCCGGTTGTGCGTGATCCACCTCGGGACACCGGCTGGAGGAGCTTCTTTCACACACTCAGGGAAAAGCTAAATGCTTCTGCTTCTGTCTGATATCACTTAGTCACAAGACATTCCGAGAGCGACGGAAAGCGCAGAAAGCAAGGTCGCGGAAGATTGCTTGAGGAGCTGATTGCTATTTGATACAGTGCTGCAGGACGTGCCAACGGATGATGAACAATCCCAAGGTGCTGTGAGGGCCTCAATATCTGGTGGGTTCAGGGCTGCTCCTTTTTGCAGTGCAGACCACATTCTGCGATTTTCCTCTTTGTGAGCTTTGCTTCCAAGGATTGAGAATCTCACGTCTCTTCCGGATTGGGTGGCATCTGGCAGAACCGTAAGCTTCTTACAGAGGGGGCCAACGGCACAGTGAGCAACGGCACAGAATGGGGCTATGTACCCAACATGTCGTTTGCCTTGTTGCATTGTCTTGGTGAGATCCGAGGAACCGATTGAAAGAGCCAAGGCTCACTGGGCCAAGGCATCCGATGCCTCAAAGACTACTCACGGCTGCCTTCGCTGCTTGCCCTCCCCGACCCCACCACATGGCGGAATGATGGGATGGGGGGGGGCAGGTGCAGGCAGAAGTGGGCCGACAGCAGGACTGCACCGTGGAGGCCCAGCTGACACGCTGTCACAACATCTAGACTTGGCAAGATGTCGGATCGCAATATCTTCGAGCAGGCAGTCCGCCGTCAAAGCATCTTGGCCGGACAATTCCTGCTCTTCCTGGAACAGACGTTCGTAACGGCCCCAGTTGCTCAGGTCTGGTAGAGATGGTCTCATGACCGAGCAGTGGAAATCGACAAGCACTTCCGGCATCAGCCCTTGCGGCACAGGGGTTCTACGAGCTCCTCAGTTTGGCAAATGTTGCGCACTCAGCAACTTACAGCGGAGTCACGCTCGCAGGCTCCGCATAGACGTGCGGTACAGTCTAAAGTACATGCAATCCACTTCTGTGGCTCGCTTGAGTAAGCCAACCTGCTTACGGGAAATATAACTTTCTGTCATGCGTGCTCGTTGCAAAATCTGATGCCTCCAAGCCAACCGTCGTAGCCAATCTTAGAATTAGAAGGAGCTTCCCTTTGCTGCGACTCCAGGTTGCTCCGGAGAAGCGCCGAGGCAGACCAGACGTGCGGCGTTTTCGGTTTAATCCCCTGAACCCTGAACCCTAAAATGCCCAAGTGAGAGAGTCGCCCATCTGCAGGTGCCCATGCAATTGCGAGAGATGCAGATGCACAAAGACTGTCCGACCTCCAGGCGAAGTTCTTTCCTGTTGTCCTCGCCGCCCTGTGGATAGATGTCAGCCTTGATCCGCCGCCTTTGTGTCTTCCGCGGCCGATAGAATGTACTAGAAGGCACGATATAAGATACTATATGAGATACTACATAAGATACTTTATAAGATGCTATATAATATACTGTAAGATACTTTATGTTAATAAATCATACAAGAATATACAACATACTATACTATATGAGATACCATATGATGCTGTTTAATGTTCTTTTTGCTACACCGAACAGCAGCCGCTTGCACAGTAGTATGTGCCTTGTAGAAGAGCCGCATCCAACTATACAGCGGCTTATGCCGATGTCCAGACAGGGAGGGGCCTCACTTAAACTGACGGGCTTATGTGAAAAGTTGGCCCCTGCAACCATGTGTGTAAGCGTACAGAAGTCTTCAGAGAGCAGGGCATGCATGCATGCGCACGGTTTTTGCAGAGGCATCTCGCTCTACAGGTGCCTGTGTTGTTCTTCATCCCGAGGGCATACGGGAGACAGCTGTGCCAAGGTGAATCCACTTCAGAAGCTCTGCATACGGCAGAAGTAGCACTAAACAGCACCATGGGCATTTGCTCCGCTTCATTGCTTCCTCTATCGGCTTGATCATACCTGCGCAGGCAATCTTCGTCACACTCCGCGAAGAAGCTCTCAGCAACCCAGAGCCATGGCTAAACAAGGCGTAGGTGACATGCAGTCAGACATGCCCCTGCATGCGTTTTGGAACTGAATTCGAAGGAATTTGCCGGGCAGCCACTCTGGTACTACGTCCTCACCAAAGCTTCCAGCCTAGTTTCGTGAAAGATCGAAAATGGCATTCATTGCGGCTGGTTTACATGTAGATCGCTCGTTGCAGGAGGCCTTGGACGGAGGGCAGGACATTGGCAGCCCTAAGCCCGAAGCCTTTACGCCCTAATCCCAAAACCCTACACCTTTAAGCCCTAAGCCCCTAGTCCCTAAACCCTAAACCCTAAAGCCGTAAACCGTAATTCCTAAACCTAAAACCCCTAAATCCCAAATCCCTAAACAACTAAGCCCTACACCCTAAACCCCCACGCAGTTTGCTTATTTCCGAGGCCAAAGGCTCCCTTGCGAGCGACATGCTCTTCAGTGCTGCCGCGTTCTCAGCAATCCTGTCGCTCCCTGAATCCTGACCCGACGGTTATTGTAGTACCTAAATAATCATAGCATCAAGACAGAAATTAAGTTAGTGATGACAATAGTAGTCATAGTGATGGTAATGATAACCGCAGCAATACTCAATACCAAGAAGAATAATAGCAAGAATAAAAATGGTAACAATAACAATATCAGAATAATATCCAAGCCACAACCATAGTTAGAATTATACTCGTAATCACAATCAGAATCATAATAATAAGACTATTAATCATAAATCAATAATGATAATACATAGAAGTATTAGAAAGGGTATGCGTATTAGACAACGCATCACTTTTCGTCTTCGTGTTCGTATTAAGTCAAGCATTAGCGTTGGTATTAGTATCAGGATTAGCACCAGCAACACTACAAGGAAACTCCTAAACCCTAAACCCTAAACCTTAAACCGTAAGTGGTGTGTGCGTTACAGCTGAAGGCCTGGGCGGTCGCCGGCGGCAGTGCTGGAAGCCCAGCAAGTCGAAGATGCGCTCAGTTTCTTTGTTCAGGGCTTAAGGCTTAGGATTTGGGGTTTAGGGTTTAGGATTTAGGGTTTAGGGTTTAGGATTTAGGGTTTAGGGTTGGGGTTTCTTCGTTGTGGGCTCCAATGTTTAATGAACGGTGCCCAAGCCGTGCACGTATGTGATGATTGCAGGCAGAAGCGGTGCGGGAATGCAGCAAGCTGAGTTGTTGGGAGTGGGAATTCTTCATGGCAAAGCGGCATTTTAGGCCATATTTTAGGCCAAGGAACCTGGCTTCCGCATGCTTTACAGGTGTCGAGCGAGCTCGACTACAAGTGATGGAAGCGTTGGCGGTGACATCTGTGTCGAACGCAGTGCCGGAGCTGCAGCGAACAACATTTTGAGTTGTAGCATTCGAGCGTCATCTGCTTCGTGCATTTCGTTTTTAGAACGTAGGAACTCTGTGAACCAGTCTGTGAGCGTTGTCCAAACAGGTGCTTAGCAACTTATGCCGTGGGCTGCGGCCTCCTCAGCGCGAGGCAGGGCACGGTGAAGGGTTCGGTTTGGGCCGGCGAAGGCCCCGTCGAAGTTTTGAAGCCCCATAGACCGCTAAACCCACGAGCGTCTCTTAGTTGCCTTGGGCCTTGGGTGGATGTTGGCAGACCTACGTTGCGAGTGAACCACGGAGAAGCTCCAAGGTCTCAGCCTCGGCACACTTTGCCTAAACTTATAGGAAACTATAGGAAATTAGGGTTTAGGGTTCAGTGTTCTGTCATTCTTATTATTGTGGGTTTTTACTGCTAGTGCTGACTATTGCACTTTATTGCTTTTCAGACCTGTCTCCGTTGCATTTGCCTGGACGTGCTAAGTTCTTGACCCAGCTGAACGGCACGGAGCTGAACACCTGAGAAAGCGTCTCCGCTCGCGGCATCTCATCGGGGCCATGTCCCTTTGCGAATCTTTGACTCTCAGGGGCCGAGTTGGGCGCCAAAGCCCGGATCCCGCTTTTGCTTGTCCGGTTTCCCTACGCCCCTAAACACAGAAACCCTATGCAAAGCCCTAAAAGCCCCTGAAGCCTAGAACCCTACACCATCACAGCACCCCTTCAAGAAGCCTTGCAGAGTCCCCAAAAGATCCTGGCGAGGCCCTCCTCCTTTTTTGGCGCCGCGAGCTTTTTGACTCTTCCGAGGCTTCGCTCCACAGGGCAAACAAGAGCATTGAGGTGCGAGGAACGGAGGGATTCGGCTTTTTTGGGGTTAAGGGTTTGGGGCTTTTACAGGGTTTTGGGGTTCTGAGGTTTAGGTTTTGGGTGTCAGGAAGGGATCTTCAGGTGCTAGATGTTTTGATATCCTGGAGATTCTGCTGCGCCGTTTCGAAGCTCCTAAACCCCAAGGCCTAAACCTTCAAACCCTGAGCCCTAAAGCCCAGACCCTAAACCCCTGAACCCCTAAACCCTAAACCCTGAACCCCAAACCCTAGACTTCAGGGTTTGGGGTTCAGGGTTTAAGTTTTAGGGTTAACCCCCCTCCATGCTCTTGCGGCCAGGCATCGCGGGCCTTCAAGCACAATCAGACGGTAGCGAGGGAGGCGGCAGCTTTGTGAGCTATTATGAATATCAGAATTAATAAAAACCAATGTTTGTCGTGTTTTTTTAAATGTGGAGGTTATTGCTTTATTGTATTTGTTATCAGCTATTAGTAGAATTCTCCTGCCATATCTTACGATTACAATTACTACTTTATTTACTATTGCAATTTCTATTGCACTTACCATTACTATTTCTATGGCTGTTGTTTGCGCCAGTGAAGAGGATATCAGAAAACAAGGGGCGAAATCAGGAAAACAAGTTCGGAAACCAAGGAGGGCGACGTCCGAAAACAGCCGGAGAGAATCAGACAGCCAGAATCAGAAAACAACGAAGACGAGATCAGAAAGCAGGAAACAGTCAGAAAACGAGAATGAGAACACAAGACAATCCAAGTCATAAAGCAGGAGGGAGAAACTCAGAGAAACGTATGTTACCATCAAATCGCCTTGTTGTCCGTTCTGTTTTCTGACATTCGTTCGTCCTGTTCTCTGATTTTCGACCGAACTGCTTTCTGACCTGGTCCGTCATTTTTTATGATGTCGTCCGCCCTGTTTTCTGATTTTCGTGCGTCCTTTTTGTTGATTTCGGAATTCCGTTTTCCGATTTTTGTTTTCTGATTTCGTCCGGTGTTTTCCGATATCGTCCGCTCCATTGTCGATTTTTTTTCTGATATCGTCCGTACCCTTATTTGCGCAGAGTCTGTCGTCTGGCATCTGTTCCAGTACTTTTCCATGTTCTTGTCTTCTTCGAGGCAACTGATGGCCAGCGCAATTTGAGCCCCACTATGGATGACAGATGACGACAGACTAGGTGAAGCTTTCTTTGCAATCGTCGGTCAAGCCTCCGTCACGAAGCATTCTTGAATGCCCTGCCATCTTGTCAACATGACCAGCTCTCCGCGGTCCTCGGCTATGCCTGTGTGGTTACATGAGGGACCGAAGCTGTTCGGAATTTAAGTGTCCTTGAACATGGAGCAGTGACGATATTCTGCCCTGGAAGGTGGATGTGCTCATCATAAGGATCACGGGCGAGGCACGCTTGCTGTGTGCCGCACGATGCCATGCTGTCACTTGGCGTCTCAGCACCACAGGAAGCTGCCCTCCTTCACATGCCCATCAGCTCTACTGTGAAGGCGCTCGCCTTTGCTCTGCTTTCTTGTGATTGTAGCAGAAGCTGTGCTCAAACCATGAACTCTTCTCGTCAATTCTTGTACTGTAAGAAATTACAATATACCATACTACACGAGAGCACTAAAATATGGCATGATATCCCATGACATGCTATGGTGTCAGAGAAAGTGTTGTGTTTACTGTCGGGCAGGATCTTCAAGAACGCCTCGCCGCCAGGATCTTTGTCTTTTGGGTTTGTGGTCACCCGGTTTGCGTTGCGCTGTCCAAGCTTTCTCGTACCACACGCTGGAGGCCGTTGAGAGTGTGCCCGTGTGGTGCCAAGACCGGACTGGCCACACTATCCGAATCTTGTAACAGAATGTCAAGGAACTCTAATCTACTACAATATACCATGCTATTTACAGAAAGTGTTGTCTCAGTGGCCGAGCTGTGAGCATGGCTGGCTCTGCTGCCAGAGCTGTCAGGCTCAACATCAAGTACTCCTTTTCGAGAATAAGGAGCTTACTGTCCTGGGCTCAAAGAAAGGTTCGCTAGGTCGGTGTCATGGCTTTGATCGAGCCTGAGGCTCACACACCCGTGAAGAGCTTGCGAAGGGACAGGGAAAGCGTGGTGGCCGCTAGCTTACGCCAGAGACAAGTCTCTCTATTTCGAATCCCGCACTGCAAAATGCTCATGAACTGATCTGTTACCAAGTTCTGTACCCTTTACTACAAGTCTGGCCCTCAGCGATGCTCGATGGGGCGACCTTCAACGCAGTTCCGATGCAAACACCAGATGTGGTCGAGAGCTGCTGCTGCTACATAGACTTTCAGACCACAATGCATTTTCAGCATGGCTCACGCGAGCTGTCATCAACATGAACTGGCTGTGAAATGAGCTGGATATGCACAAGGTCGGAAGAACTGGTGCACCGGATCGAGGCCATTGCTTCCGTACATATGTCACTTTATATGCAGACTTTGTCTCCGATTGTTTGCCTTAGTGCTTAGGTGCCGTGTCGTTTAGGGTAGCGATCAGCTTGAGATGCAGGCAGCGATGTTGAAGATCGCGCAGTGCTCGCAGCTGGACCTGGACATGCCATCGCTGCTGGGTGGGCGATGGCCTTATGTTGAAATTGGGGGACGGCTGCTCTCGTGTATCGGAACCCACGTTTAGCGAGCTCCTCGCCATGCGGCCGAATTTCAAGGTCACAGGGTAGACGCAGCTTTTGTCGTAGCTGCTGCTGCTACTGCTGCTGCTGCTGCTCTTCCCTTGCTCACTCTGAGTATGGTGCCGCCTTCGCAGTGCATGAACGGGCATTTGATGCATGTGGACTGCGTGGCTTCTTCGGGTCGAAGCATGTTGAAGCTTCACAGCCTGGCGCAGACATCTCTGTTCGAGTCCCAAGTTGCACTCTTACCGCTGGCAATGTGGGCATTGGAGAAATCGGTTCCACGCAATCTTTGCATCGGCCGACAGAAGGATGGTCTCAACTTACGAACAACACTTCGACCAGGGAAGGTGGCCCAGAGCCTCGTCACCGGTGTTTCGCCAGGGATGCCGTACTTTCGCACCATGTCGCATGCCTGCTTCATGCACATCTCGGGTTTGGCGACGGGAGACTGCAAAGGAGGAGATTTACACGCAGGCTGCTCTGATTTGCAGAGAGAACTCGCTCAGACTCCACGATGTGAAGTCTGAGTCGAGTGCTCTCTCCAGCTCAGGGCAGCCGGCGTGTAGACGTGGCTCCGGTCCCAGACCCTCGAAGCGCATTCGGCCCTCCCCATGCGAAATTCTTTAACATCGACGTTTTCGACAGGTAACCGCGTTGCGGCAGTTCCACTGTTGAAAAAACCTTCGCTTCAAGCGAAGGGGCCAGGCCTTGGGAGAAGCCGGGGAATCACGGCCCAGGCCAGGGTAGCCGCTCGGCGGTAGAGTAGAGTTTCTTTTGGTGCTCATCGCGGTGTGGTATTAATTGTAACAGGATCCCCTGCACAGATACAAAGACCAGGTCCTTGCACATACCTGTAACATCGTGCCGCAGCCGTCCGACGCTGTGCTTGTCCCGAACAATGAGAAGCTGCAGCCCGTTTGCTGTTTGATGCCATTTGATCGCGCTTGGCTTGGAAACAGCTGCTGCCTTGAACAGAGCTCTTGCTTTGAACTGAGAGGCAACTGGCAGATCCAGCAATATGCCTGATCTACGGCACCAGCATGTTCGACACTACGGCACCTTGGCATTGGAATTCGGAGCACTCTGTGCTGCAAAGCATGAAGTGCCCATCGCTTCCATGTCTCTCTTGCTTTTATTCACGATTGAGTCTTGCTTTGAAGTCCTTACCCAAGTTCAGTTCCCTGCGTCCGGCATCGAAGCCTTAAACCCTAAACCCTAAACCGTAAAACCCTAAATACCCTAAATACCCCAAACCCTAAATACCCTAAATACCCTAAATACCCTAAATGCCCTAAATACCCTAAATACCCTAAGCCCTAAGCCCTAAAGAAGGTGGCGCGGCCTGGAGGAGGAGAGCGACGCCAGGCAGAGATCCCAGCTCATCCCCACCCCGGCGAGCATCCCTTCAGAGAGGAGACTAGGGGCCTTAATAACAAGAGTAGGGTTTTGGGCTCCTTGATAGTAGAACTCCGAAGAGGAAGCTTAAGAATACTATGGGGTAGTTATCCATAGGTTACGCCACCTCGCAGGGTTAGAGGGAGAGGCATTGTGGATGTTCATCCCAGCCCACACAACTCATGAGCGCAGCAGGGTGGCCGGCGGGTGGCGATTTCGGTCAGAAAGAATGAGACAGTAAAGGCATGGGCCCCAGACGGCTAGGGTTTAGGGTTTAGGGTTTAGGGACTTGGGCCGTGCTGGCTATGCCACGGTTCTTTTTTTCCGAGGCTTTAGGTGACATGGGCGCAGCTCTGCCCTTCGAGATCCCTGCGAGCCCTCCTCGAGCTCGAAGCTTGGCTCGGCTTTCCAGTGTTCGGGGTTCAAAGTTTCGTGTCTGTGCGAGAGAGAATGAGGGAGTCAGTGGGTAAGGGAGAAGAGGTTGAGTGGAGACAGACAGGGCTATTCGCAAAATAATTGCCCCTCGTGGACTACACAATGCTTCGGGCACTGCCCGCGCCTTCTGCCTCTAGAAGTGAGAGTGAGAGCGGGAGCAACGCTGCGGCACCCAAGCGAATCCACCAAAGCAGCCGAAGATCCAAGACAAAATGGTGCCTGCGCAGGGCTGGTGGTCGCGACCCGCAGCCTGAAGACCTCGAGAAAAAAGCCGCGCATCATTCTCGAGTTCGAAGCTCTCGGAACGCGGACGGAACTTGGGATAACTGGTCTTCACGTGACTGGCGGACGAATGCATGTCACAGGGTAGGGCCGGTTGCAGAAACATGGGACTGAACCCGAAGAATGCCTGCATCATGTGATGTGGGACGGATGGCGACATGTAGAGGTCAAAGAACACCGATTGAGGTCTTGAGCCCACCGATACCCACTCCAACGTCTCCGAGGAAGCAGTCACTTCAGGCGAGGCTGCCTCGAATGTGCTTCGCATGTTGCAGCAGCTGCAGGGTATGTGATGCCTGAACAGCCTGTGGCTGGAGAGCAGTCATCTTGGACCCCCGCTGCCAGTTGACGATGATGGACATTCTTCGCACTACGACAGAGGCTGGCTTGCTACAGGATTGCAACTTTGCGGAACCTTTATCATCTCAGAATCTCCACATTCCTGAAAAGGCATGTCGGTACTTCCCAATTCGGCATGGAGCCATACTAGCAGCAACGTCTGTGCTGACAAAAGCTTACGTACAGCTATGCCAGTGCTGCAGATCTGCCAAAAAACACATGGACTTGACGACTTGTCTGCTTCGCAGCTCGTCCGCGGCCATGCCTGGGGAGTGCCAAGAACAGGCCAGTACTCGGTGCAGGCAAGTGTGGGATGTTTCACTGCAGCTTCAAAACCTCTGTCCAGACCTTGATGTTTGGGAAAGGTGGACACTCCTTGGCAGATGCAGGTGGTGTGTGAGATCTTGGAGACAATTTCTCAGTGACCGAACCCGTGATGCTGCAATTGCTTCAACCTATATTGCCGAGGTTGAGCACGAACTTGCTCAAAAAGCCGCTCGTGCCACAGGTGCTTGCCCTTACCGCGGCCTTCTGCTTCCGTCAAACATTCTGCGAAGATTCGAGTCCCAGTGATCGTAATGAAATTGTCGGTGAGTCTGTGGAGGCCAATCTCAGTACGTCGCTTCGTCTTCTACAGGAACTAGAGGAGGTCGCCTGGAGCTCACATGTCGTGGAGATCCACTGATCCGGGCATCTGAGAGGCTGGGCTGCCGGCCAGTTACCAAGTTGAGTTCATTGAGCAGCGCCGGCGATCTGCTGCCTTCTTAGGCCTGCGCCTTCTGTGGTGGTTCTCTTCATTATGTTGAGTATGTTTCGCCTTTAACGGACCAAACTGAAAGCTGCGAGGATCCATTCCGACCACGCCAGGGACTCCCGAGACGAAGCCTGGTTCGCGCCACAGCGACCGGGACCGGGACCGGACTTCCCGGCCTCCTTTGTCTCTTCTCTTCACGGCCGCAGATGTCAGTATGAAAGGCAGTTCATGAAGCACGGTTGCAGGACTTGCAGTTCGGAAGACGGGACACCTCGTCCGAGAGCCGGAGACGCGACAACACGATGGAGCGAACGTAGAAAGCTGTAAGACTGAAGACGCACCGGTGTCATCGAGTCCTCACAATTTAGGAGGCCACAGCGCATGTACAGTCAAAGTGCAGGATGGTCCCAACTTCACACGCCGAGAGACCTCCCGCGAGCGCGATGACGCTCTGTCTTGGCGGCGAGAGAACGCGATGCAGGCCACCTCCACTTTCAATGCGCGGAGATATGTCCGCGTCCATGTGCACAGGACTCCGTGTCTCCACCGCCCGTGAGGCACGGCGGGTAAGAGTAATCCAGTACTAGTACATGCCGCAGATCAGATCTGATCAGGGACGGTCGACCGTCAAGTGCGGATGGATTGATCCTGCGATGCTCTAAGGGAGGCCGACTACCAACGTGGTCTCCATGCTGTCAGCGCCTTCGTCAAAGCCATGAAGGACGCGTGGGCGGGCCCAGCAGGGTCGGTACATCGGGGCCCCCCGTCTGTCAGACTGTCTGTGCTGGTTGTACCCTAAACCCTAAAAGCCCCAAACCCTAAATGTAGCCAGGACTTCTACCAAGAGTTTATGCCGTTGCGGGCATATGCGGTGGCAAACATGTCCTTCTGCCTCCAGGCTCGGGTGTAGATGGAAGCTCCCGATGACAACCCCCACGCAATCCCCATTATCTCATGTGTAATCTGGCACACAATATACACCATGAGGAGCCATTATGTACTATAATATATATATATATCTATATATATATATATTATAACATATACTATCATGTATGCTGTATTTAGTATCATAGTACTACAATATCTGCGATGCTTTCTGCTATAATATGTACTATGATGTATTTGCTTTGCGGGCTTTCAGCGGTAAGTATACAGCGTAATTATGTGCAGAGCAACGCCACTGGCTAAAAGGGCTATGATAAATAAATGAATAAATAAACAAACAAATAAATATCGAATATATATATATATATACATATATGTATATACACATATATATATATACATATATATATATATATAGATGTGTATACGTAGAGTATGGTATACGCACAAGATTCCTCACCCCGATCTTCGCCTTGGAACACCAGCTTGCGAAAGCTCACGGGTCACAGTTGGCAGAGAAGTCTTTGGCTTCTTGTGCTGCGCATTTGCTGGCATCGGTGACAGCAGGCCGAGAAAGCCTACAAAGAATCCACCAAGGCTAGGCGCTATAAGGTTCAGGGTTTCGAGTTTGGGGAAGGGCAGTGTTGATATCGGCTTCGGCTTGAGTTTTGCGCCTCTCAAAGCTTCGGCTGTTGGTTTCGGCCAGGTCCTTCGCGTCGCTCAAGGTGCCTTGGTCGAGCCAGAGGGGCTTGGTTCACTCATCCAAGTTAGGCAACACTGGCTGTCGGCTGTGGCTGAAGCAAAGAGCCCAAGAGCCCCGCTGCCAAGATCTGGAGAACATGTGCGCTCTACCACCGAACTGTACAAGCGTGGCCTGCGTCCTGCAGGCACACTTTGCAGTTCTGAAATCCTCTTTCTCGTACTCATTCCCACCGGTGGAAGCTGCTCTGCTTTTTCGTGCAGGTTGAGGTGTGGTGAACGTGTCAAAAAGTGCAAGACTGGTTGTTTGGCACCAGTATGTGATGAATTGCAATGACCTTAGCTGGCAGCTACCTGTAGCGTGCTCGGAGCCGGACATCGGAGGAATGACAGCATCACACATGCACATGTGTGATGCTGTAAAGAAGATGCTGTTTCTACGCCGAATATCGCTTCTGCGGCAGGCAGCCAACCTCGCCTGCAATCAGTTGCAGGCAGGATAGTGTCCTCGTCTGTCTGAGTCCACCGCCAGCCGGGTTTTCGTTGCAGCCAGGCTGATGAAGCAGACATCTTTTCATCTAGTCTATCTATTCCGTCATTTGCGGGAAAGGTTGAACCGCCCAAAACACATCGAACCGATTTGCAGTCTCTATGAAGCAAGAAGACATTGTTTCATGGATAGTGGCACAGGAAAGGGAGCGCTGTTTTTTCAAAACTTGCCTATCTTTTGCCAGGCTATGGCTGAGCAGGGTATACCGATCGTCTATCCACACGTTGAGTGCCCCAGCGACAGCTTCTTTTTTGTTTTGTCTTTTGTATTTTATGGCCTCACCGCAAGACTCCTGTGTGCGCTTCCGTTCAGGTACGTACGTTGTGCGATTGACAGTGGCGGACCTATCTCATGGCCAGACTTGGGCCACCTTTTCCGCATGTCAAACGTGTTGTTAGGCGCTGGGCTCGCCTTTCTCAACAGTGACGCTCTTAGACTCTGCCCGACAGCGATTCGCGGCAGCGCCACACTGGATCTTAGGCCCGCCAGCCGCAGAGCCTGCGCAGCGGCTGCGATGGGCCGAGGCGCATTACTGCAAGAACCTCGTGAAACAGAAAGGCAACAAGCTCTGCTTGCGAACACCAGTTGCAGGAGACTTGAAGTTCGTTAGACAGTCCAGTCATCTTCGAAGGGAGTGTGAATGCCGATCCCCTGTGCAGGGCATCATGTCTGTCCAGCTCGCGCCACTTCCAAGCTTCGACCAGACGTTGAAGCGCATTGCGAGGCTGGTGCCGAACGAAGCTTCCATTCAGAACCCTAAACCCTAAACCCTAAGCGCAGGCGTCAGAATCAGAAATGTGTGCACACACCAAGTAGGCGTGTTGGCTTTGAGGCTGGAGTCGAAGAGATAGCTGTTTTTCTCAGAAGCTCTGAGAAGCGACGTTAAGCAAGAAAAAAACGAATGATTGGCAGCCGAGAATGCTCATATATTCCACCAAAATTTGCAGACAGTCTAGTGATTCTAGTGGCCTGAAACGCGGCTTTCCGAACTGTGCCTCCTCGTGACTCTTCTGTCTGAGAGGTGCATTGACGAAGAGCAGCTTGCGGAACTGGCAGCTAACGCAGAGCCGCCGGAGGAACGCCGTGGGATCCGACTCGGTACGTCACGGGATACTTTCTGGATGTTTGTTTTAGATAATGCCGTGCTGTGAAACATGACGGCCAGCTCCCGCTTGAGTATCGCACTTGCCACTTCCAAGCTCTCTCCTCTTCGCAGAACATGCAGCGCGGTGCTTTGGGCACCGGCATCGAGCGGCTTTTCGACGCTGCCTGAGACTGCCTCACTGCCTTGCGAGTCTCCGAGACCGAAACCCCTAGAGCCATTGGTTCATCATCGCTATTGTTAGTCTTACGTCGTTACATTATGCTATATTGATATTTTTATGTCATTATAGCATGTTATTGTTAGTTTTATGTCATCATAGTATATACGTACTACATTGTTGGTATTTGTTATCACTGTTCTTTTTAATTCTGACATGATTTCTATACTATATATTACTGTATTGTTATTATTTGTTGTCACTGTTCTTATTCATTCTGACATGATTTTCCTTCGTCCCCCAGGCAGCTCTGGCCTGGGTTCTGGACCCACAGTGCAATTGCGACCGGCGCTGGTCGCAATCCCGACAGCTGCTCTTGGACGCAGAAGGTGGGCGGCCCTTCGAAACCGTATCATACCCTTGATTTTCTACACAGATATATTCAAGAGTATATAGATTACGTATCGGAGTTTGTAGTAGACAGTTGATTCTGTGTGATGCCTTCAGCCCTCGCGCAGTAGGCTGACCTTAGGCTTCCGCTTGCTGCATCTCTCTGTGGCTCAATGACGAGCCGTCTATCATCAGACATGGAGCTCTCAGTCCCAAGTTAGAGCACGGGAGAAAACAACACCCTCCAAAAGATCCGGGCCCCAAGCTCAGACTGGCCCTTTTAGGGTTTAGGGTATTTGGGGTTTAGGGTATTTAGCGTTTAGGGTATTTAGGAGTTAGGGTTTAGGGTTTAGGGTATTTAGGGTTTAGGGTTTAGGGTTGACAAGCAGGAGTAAACACATGCGGCAAGAACCGCCGTCCTCAATAGTTGCGTTCCAGACAGCAGTAGGCACTGATGGGTTTAACAGAGCCTCCGCGATGCTATGGGACTGACAAGAGTCAACCTTGTGCTATTGGCCAGCTCACTGCTTTGGGCACCGTGCTTCCTGCGCGGCAGGCTGCCGTCATTTGTGACAACAGCGCTTTTCTCGATGATGACAAACCTGGCAAAGTGCTAGTTGGATTCCGACTTCGATGCGCTATCCACTCTATAGGATATGCATGACCTCTTGTATCCCTTTCTTTGCGACGGTGCAGGCCCTCATTGAGAACTCGGACGGTGTGTGGAGCTACCTCTGCGCAAGCCTCCAAAGCTGAGGCGAGGCTCCTGAATTCAAGTGGCGACATAGTTTTCAGAGCCGAGCTTGGTCTAACGACCTATAACATAACTTGGCGCCAGAAAATGCAAGAACTCGCACGTACTCGAACGTTTCCTCAACTTGAGTTCAGGCCCTTCGTGCCCTAGGGCTGGACTATGTGCCGTCCAAAGAGGAGTTACGGCTCCTTGCTGCAAACTTGAAGGTTCAGGGCTTAGGGTTTAGGGTTAAGATTGTGAGAGGAGAAGAGGTGGTTCACACATCACTCGAAACCCCTAAGTCCCTAAAGCCTTCGCAGGCGCACCTTTCGGCGTCTTGCTGCGCGATCGCATCCAGATGTCGCGAGTGGCAGTGATGAGTCCTTCCGACGAGTCGTGGACTCTAAGACTGCAGCAGGACGACTTAAGTAAGAAGGCATCTTAGCTGCCAGAGTGCTCCAAGATTGTGCAGCAGGAGCCCATGCAAAAGAGTCTTGGGATTTCGCCTCGACGATGTTTGCGACCTGCGATGCATTCCCGGCATCAAGTCTAAGGATGCTTACCGCGTCTTGCAAGGGTTGGACGACGCAGAGCTGCTTTCCACAGGACGGGGTCCCGGTCAGCACCAGGGGATTGAGGACGGTATCGGGACGTAGGAGCATCTACAGTATCACTTACAGCTTTAGAAGCCCTTTGCCCTGTATAGTAACCTCATCATACTCCAATAGTGACCGTTATAGTCTTATAGTTTCCTGCATAATTAGTCGTCTCTTAAGACATTAACCTATTTCGCTTACAGTAATTCTTGTTTTCTCATAGTGACCTTTTTGGGGACCTCATGTTGTACTCATGTGCAGAATCCGGGACCTGGGCCGGGACATTAGTGTTTGGAGCGCAGGGTTTCGGGTTCAGGTCCCCTCTTGGAGCCCTTTTTTGCGTGAATTTTGCAAGCGATGTCTGAGCACTCGGTCACGGATGCCTTTCTAGCCATCCCTGTCTCGTATACAAGAGATTAATGGGAGATCGCTGTGTATCTCGAGCAACAAGATATTTCTATAATGACCTAGAGTTACATTGTAAGAATAAGTAATATAGACGAGTGTTGGTCAGTTTACAGCTTCCTGTCCAGAGCTGACTTGGGCTTGTCAGGAAGCGATTCCGGAAGGTAGCCTCTGAAAAGCCTGAGACCACAACAGCTCCGGGGGGCTTCTGCCTGCTAGGTGAAGAACCAGCTGACGCAGTGGAGGAATTCCTCGCTGACTGGCTCGGAAAGGAATTCGCTGTCCCAGGCTGGGGCAATTTCGCTCAGATAGAGCTGCTTAGCTGATGTCATGACGGCGTGCGCCAACCATAGGCCTTAGCACCCGAAACCGTAAGCTTTAAGCTTTAAACGTTTTAATTAACGCTAAGCCAGAACTTCCAAAAGGAGGCCGGGGCTGTCTACGACAGCACTGTACAACCCTAAACTTGGCCCTAAACCCTGACTTAGGGTTCCTGAGTTCTTCTTGATTTCACAGCCAGGAGAGACACAGATGACGATGGCTGGGCAGGGCGAGCTCCCGTGCTAAACACCTTCGTGAGAAGGCGGCCTGGTGGGAGAAAGAACGATAGCCTATAGTCCCAAGCATCCTCACGGTCGTATTATTGTAGGATGTTGTATTGCATTCTGGTGGATTCTATTTCTTTGCAACTTTAACCTGTTCTATTCTAGTGTATTGCACTACATTATGTGGTTGCCCCAAAGGAGCAAGATGATTGATATGATTTGGTGTATCATATAGAATATATGATAATCTAATCCAACCCAGTATAATATAAGAAAACATAAGATAAGAAAGATAACATAATACAACACATAAATAAATAAATATATGTATGCGTGTGTATGTATACATATATATATAAACAAATAAATAAATAGATAAAGAAACAAGTATATATATATATAAATATTTAAACAGATATAAAAATAAATATACAAATAAAGAAATAGAAATATAAATATAAATATACACAAATACAAATACAAATATACATATAAATATAAATATACATATAAATATACATATAAAAATAAATAATAGATAAATAAATAAATATAAATATACACAAATACACAAATATATATATATATGTATAATATATACACACATATTTGTGAGTGCTCAGGCACGACGCCGCTGTGGAGGGCCTCGTCTCCGAAGGTCACACGTCTTTTGAGCTTTGGGTCTTCTGCGGTTGGGCATGGTAAAGGCTTGAGGGTTTGGGGTTTTGGCTGCCGGGTTTACGGTTTACGATGGCGGGTTTAGGGTTACGGTGGAGGGTTTAGGATTTTGGCTTAGGGGTTTAGGGTGTAGACTTCCATGAACCTCCCAGGGTCTGTCGTGCTCTTCCGTTTGCTGCAGTCCAAGAACGGCTTTGGATGGGGCATCGGTGTCTCGGAGAAATATGTTTAGCAGCAGATTTCGCCCAAACGACGAAACGTTGCGCTTGATCCTGTTAGACAACGACAAGCATGCTTGGGAGATAGCGCATGCTTACAGCTGAGGTCATGTTGTGGCGGTGCAGGTGAACTATAGCAGGTGGCAGGGGTGCACTCAGTGCTGTCATGGTTCTTATATTTCGACAGCAACATTGTGTTCGGCCGACTACTGCAAGAGGATCTTGGTGATGATTGTTCCGTCGTACCAGGAATGGGCCAAATGGCCTGCTTCATGTGCAGCCTATGTACCTGCGCGAGATCAGGAGCGTCTCAGCCAAGCCTTGCACATCGCACGCGTGGCGCACTGTCTTCTTACGATAGCAGTCAGTCTTACGGTACATGCACTATGCAGGCACTCTGGGACTCTCTTTCTGTTCGGCGTTGCTAAGCCGCGTTCTGATGGGCAATGCCTCACATCGGCAGAACCTACACTACTAAATACTGGACCACTCGTTCGATGAAATTGCATCCTTCTGGTCCTCTGGTTGCCAGGAGTGGCACTGCTTTGCTGGAGGATGATTGGGACGCTGATCCTCACTCGCATTGTCTACGTTTCATCTCAATTATCTGCATTCCTACTCTGTCAATGCAGCACTTCAAGCGGGCTGCATGCACTGGAGGACATTGCTATCACGAGGGCGACCGATCGCTTGGAAGTCTTGGATGCGCGGCTTCAAAGCGACGGGACTTTGCAGCTGGAGGAGCCGAGTCGAGCTCACACACGAGCGGCTGCTCGTCATGAGATTGTTTCTGGATGCGGGGTTGCGTGAGTGTAGTGAGCTGTGGAACTTGCGCCTCAGGTGCTGTCAGGAATGGTCCTGCTAGATCCCGCTGAGTAGAGTCGATCTCCGCGCAAGCCCCCGAAGGGCCATTGCAACTGCCAAAGCGCCGTGCGCCAGTGCACCCGAAAAATGGAGTGCTTATTCCGGGATGGAACTGATTCGACGAAGTCTTCTGATCCGAGCATGGGCAGGTTTCGCAGAAGAGCTTCGGCCTCGGAGATGTAGTCATAGTATATCCAAGTACATTGTAGCAAGCCATGTTTTTGGTATATTAGAATACACTATAGTATTATATTGTAGTGTATTATGGCAGTAGAGTGGAGCTGCGGGCCGATAGCCTGGCCCAGGCTGGCACCTTGGAATACACCCTGAGCCCTAAACCCTAAACCCTAAACCCCTAAACCCAAAGCCCTCAACCCTAAACCCCTAAACCCAGGCTGGCCTCTTGGACATCTGCTTCGGCAGAGCCTCGCCGAATGAATCGAGCGAAGCAGCTGCTCATGGAGGTGTCGGCCCGTCCGAGGGCTCCAGGGCTTTAGGTTTTGGGTGTTTAGGGTTTAGGGTTTACGGGGTTTTAGGGGGTTAGGGCTTTAGGGCTTTAGGGGTTTAGGGTTTAGGTGTGGTTCAGACCCCTAAGGACACAGGACGCAGGGACACTGAGCTTAGCTCTCAAAGGGCTCAAACGGCTTGGGCGCATGCGAGAGGGCTCATTGCCAGCCCCTCTCTCCCTTGGGCCCTTAAGCAAGCTTGGTTCGCTGGGAGAGTGCTGCCAGCTGCCTACGCCACTCTTGCTACTAACATTGCAGTGTCGTCTAGGGCAACGGCGCCGCTTTCTGGTTTCTTTGAAAGAGCGGCTAGACACTTGCTCCAGTCTTGGCAGTTTGGGCATTTCGTCACTCGACCGGTCCTGCTAATCCTGTTGGGCCAGAGTGCCCATGAGCATGCTGTCGTTATTGCTCGGGTCCGGCTCGTCATGCAGTTGCTTGAGAAAGCACCCCCTGCTGTCTGGGAGCTTTTCGATGCAGCATGGAACCGTGACACTCCTTGGTGTCAGCTGCTCGTCGATGCCTGCCGCCAGATGCTTCCGGCTGTCCGCTCGCAGAGCGGGGCGAGAGTGCCTTACTGTACCATTTCCGCCCTATCCCAGGTTCGCCGCATTGTGAAGGCAGCCCGCTTTCTGAGTCGCTGGGGTACTGCGCAAATTGCCTGTTGCGAACTGTGGCGGGATGTTGCGATGCCCCGAGAGAAACGCATCCTTGGGGATATGCAGCCTTGCACTTGTCACCTGTGCCACGCGGTGCTACCTAGCAGGCACGCACTTGCCGCCCACGTCCATCGGAAACATTCGGTCGTGAGTTGTTACACTAAGCTCACCAATGGGACCGTTTGTTTCTGGTGCCACACCGAAATGCACTCGACCGATAGGCTTAAATACCACCTTCGGACCACTCCCTTGTGCCTGCACGGCCTACGCGTGCAGGTAGGGGAGGTGTATGCGTACGGGACTGGAACCCAGCGCACTGGCCGTCGAAGGCACATAGGATTGCCGGCAATCCGCTTACCGGGCCCCTGCAATGCCACGCCTGCTCAGCGCCAGGCTGCCTTAGAAGGCCGCGCATGCACCAGCGATGACCTCGATGAGGAGCTCGCGCGTATTACCGGCGCCTCGCATGTCAATGAATGGCCGAGCTCCGACCTTGGGTTGCAGAATCATGCCCAGCAGGTGCCCTCTGCGCCGAGCACCCCTGAGTTTACCGACCTTGTTGTTGAGGCCACTGTCACCGCTGCCCCTCCCTGGTTCCATGTTGTCCCAGCTTCACAGGCCGCCAGAGCTGACGAAGACGGGGTTGTCTGCCCCTCACCGCTCTGGTCGCATCTTGTTGGGGTTAGTGGCATCTGGAAGTTACCACGCCTGTGGCACCGCTACTGGCCACTGTGGAGTGCCCTGGAAGCCGGCGCGGCCTGGGATCTCCAGCATAAGCGAGCCTTCTCAACCTTGAGGCGTGCCTTAGCATGTGCCCCACGGTCTGATGGTCCTTCGTGGGAGTTGCTTGATCTGGTTTCGGCCACGGTTACTTTCCGGCGCGTTTGTGAATGTGCACTTGCAGGAGGAGCAATGTGGCTCCAAGGTCGACCTAGCGTTGCTGGTCTACGCCTATTGAATGTTCTCCTGCCTGGTGCCACCATGCACACTGAGGTCACTCCCTCGGGTGCGGTTTTCGTTGCAGCTAGTGCTGCCTGTCCGAGGCATTTATGGCTTCGACCTATTCTAAGCCTTTGCGACGTAGTAGCACGCCCGGCCATGCCGGCGGTGCTCCCGCTCAGGGCTTCCCCCGTGTATCGTACCAAGTCGCTGGACCGTGGATAATTGCAAAGCAATTATCTTCGGCTCGCCTGGTCATACACCTCTTCCCCTTTTCTGGCCTTTAGTGCATAGCGCACTAAATTTTGGCCTGCACGACCTGACGTTCCGGACTTCCGTTGCACGAGAGTGAGTGAGTGAGTTTAGGGCTTTAAGTTTTAGGGCTTTATGGGTTTAGGGTTTAGGGTTTAGGGGGTTTAGGGTGTTTTAGGGCAATAGGGTGTTAGGGCTTTAGGGTGTTAGGGCTTTAGGGCTTTAGGAATTTAGGGTTTGGGCTTTGGGGGAAGCCTCTGCAGCGGACGGCCTCTGAAAAGTCTTTCAGAGAGCCATGAGGATTACTATACTTATAATTTTTATCACCAGTATTCGTGTTTTTTGATTATTACTATCATGATTAGTATCGATAGTTATTTGTCAGTAGAAGCCTGGAGGTCTGGACTTGGGTTGGAAGTGGATGCAGCGGCGGCCAGGGGCTCAAAAGATAGCATTTCCTCATTCCATGAAGGCTTGGATTGAGGTTTTTTTTTCTCATTTGCAAGGGGCTCTTGTGGCTGCTTCGGCTGTCTGCATTGCCGAGTGGAATGTATAGCCGATAAGAGTGCGACAGGATAGGATGAGTCGCCTTGGTCAAATTCTGCAGTTCAAGCTCTGCGGACGCTCTTCTGCTGGTTGACACTAGCGGTCGCGATCACACCTGTCGTGCCGCGCTCAGTCATCAGGGACAGGAGCTTTCGACTCGACTCTGCGAGAATTTTCCAGTGTGGCTTGAGGCGGAGCAGGGAGCACGACTGAGACCCGTGCACAGGCGGGCATGTGCTTCTTACTTCTTCACATCCCTGCACCGCCACTTCCGGCCAGCATCATCAAGACCGGCCTCCAACGCGTGGACGCCTCTCCGCCCGCGGGCCGCGCCAGCGCCGCAGCGAAGGTGGTCCCGAAAAGAGACCCTAAAGTAAACCCTGAAGAGGAAGGCAGGATGTCGTCGACTCCCTACACCAAGCCCTCTGCAAATGGTGGCAGCTTGGGTGCAGGCCTGGACGTCCGTGCTTTTCCTTTTGGATAGCAGCGCCGAGGCCAGGGGCTGTCGGCTGTGGCGGTGATCGTATGCTATATAGTGTCGTAGAAATTAAACTATCTTTTATGGTGCATATTCCCTCGTATATGCCTAGGGCCCAGGATATGTATGTAGATTTCTCTCTCTCTCTATATATATATATAGCTGTACATATGTGTGTGTGTATATATATATATGTACATGTATATGTAGACAGGTAATACATAACTATCTCTATATACATATATACATACTACTTATGCGGTGAGTGTATGTACATATATATATACATACATACGTATATATGTATATGTATACACACATACATGCTATAGCAGTGTTCGCATCTTGGCAGGCGTGGTGGTGGCTCAAAGGCATTCGATCGTCTTCCCAGGCAAGTGAGATTGTTGCCCTGTTGCACAAAAGTTCCTGATTCCGGCCCGCGTTCATGAAGCTACGGGCTGGTTCTGATGGTGGTGATGGTGGTGGTTGAAGTGATCACCGTCGTCGTCATCGTCGTCGCTGTCGCTGCTGTTGCCTGCGTGTGGTTTGGTCAAGTGCATAGTCAAGAAAGAAGACGAACGTTCACGTCGCTTGTAAACGATGATGGGATCTCTGGCAGAGCATCCGACCAATGCCCAGTCAAGTGATAAAGCTTGTGCTGCCAGAGCACAGGTTCGCTACACCCTACATCTTCAATCTTCGATCGTAACTCCTGCTCTTGTTTCTGGCGGCACTTCTGTCTGCAGATAGATTCCTCTTCCTCCAATGCCTTGCAACTACAAGCTTGCCTCCAGTCGTCATGGGTGTTTGCTCAGTTGTTGGATGCCCACGAATCAGAGCCTCAGAGGGGCGTTGTAAGTCTGTCCAGTCCTGAAGGACATCCTGAGGTCTCGTCAGCTAACGCGAGTGCCCCAGTGTGGACGGCCACAGTCTTGTTGCAGGCACCGAGTCCATGGACAAACAGCGAAGACGGTGGCGTTGGTGCCATCACCTCGGGTGCATTGTGACATTGTATGACCTTGTGTGATATGAGGTGATGTGAGGTGCATGTGTTTGCAACTTAAACCTTGTTGGCATTTCTTGGCAGAGTGGCAGGGCTCGGATGTGGTAAGGTCGCCAATCCCATGTTTGGCAAGCCGGAGGATGCATGGCAGCAGGCATGCCATGCTTTCACACGTGCGTAGAAAGTGCGTAGATGTTTGCCGATCTTCAGGGCGAAGACCCTTTCGATGGTGTCGGCCTCCCAGAATCAAAGACTCCTCACACTCTGCTAGACAAGCTCTTCCTGTCTTCTACATATAGTTCTACGCTTGCTCGTGCCTTGCTCGTGCTATGTGTTACGCGTGAGCAACTTGCAGCGATTGCGAAGCACCAAGAACGATCCGACGGCGGCTGCTCTGGAGTTTGACCGGGAATTGGACAAGGCAAAGCTCAGCCAATTCCTGCGTTTGACGTGTGTAGAAGTCAAGACCCTTGCACAATAATTGCATCAGGAAATTGACGAGGTTCTAAAGGATGCAGCCGCCCAAGCTTGACAGCGGGTCTATGGTGGGAAGAGTGGCGTGCAGCAGCACGTCGACGTGTATATGCTTGACCCATCTGCTTAATCTAGCAACACTGTGTTTGGCTTGGTCTCTTTGTGCCTGCCGGTCGTCTGTCGGTACACCTCCCTGTCTCTCTCTCTCTCTCACTCTCTCGCTGTGTTCCCGAGCGCCATGTCTGCAGCAAGGATGGCGGCTATGCATTCTGAGCTTTGATGTGCTGTTGCTTGGTGTTTGCCAGGAGATGGCCTTCTTGTGCAAACCTGTAAGGCCTAGGGCCTAGATGATGGTAGCTAGCCGCACAGTACACTCAGAAAAAGAAGCAGTGGAACATAAAACATGGATTTCTGCGTTTGCCAACTCTTGCTTCGGATTTGACAGATGTTTTTTGCGCACCCCAGCTTGCTGCAAAACTTGCCGGTTTGCTGAGGGCATTTAAGGGACCTGCAAACACTGTGGGTCCCCTTGTGGGAGAAGATTTGGCAGCCCCTAACCCTAGACCCTATACCCAAAAGACCGGAATCTAAACCCTAAACCCGTTACCCTAGACCACAAACCCTATATACCCAGAATCTAAACCTAAACCCTTTACCCTCGCCACAAACCCTATAGAAAATCCAACCCCTAAACCCCTAACCCTAAAACCCTAGAGCCTTAAACCCTAAACCCCACAATATACCCAAACCCTGAAATCTAACCCCTAAACCCCAAAGCAAACCCTATTTGCCATCTCTTTGCCTTCTGCTCCGGCTCAGAGACCTCTTTGCTCGCGTCAGAGTTCTCGGGCACGTTGCCGTCTGCAAAACTCTGCGCCAGGTAGATTCCGGCCGGAGGAGCCGTAATATACAGTTCATGACATATAGTATACAAAAAAACAGCCTAATATGTGTATACGTGCATACTATACTTTGTCATGCAGTATGTTTAATGTTTAGTGCAACACCGGCTTTCATAAAAAAACGAATGCATAAATAAATCAACATGTGTATGTATGTATATATACATATACATATATATAGACATACTGAAACACCAAGTATACAGTATACCTTTTAAACACACATATGTATGTATGTATATATATATGTATATATACAGATATATACAGATATATACAGATATATATATATATCATAACTTACTAATACACAGCGTATATATATATATACACGTATATATACGTATATATATATACATATATACGTATATATATATATAATATACATGTGCGTATATACATATATATATATACACGTATATGTATATATATATATATCATAACTCATTACTACATAGCGTATGTATATACACACACACACATATATATATATATACATGCGTATGTATGATATGTTAATACAGTATACTGTATGGCTTATTGAAATAGTACACATATCTAGAACATATATAACATTTTAGTACATTGCATGCAACAGAAATACAAATAAGTGTGTGTGTATATATATATATACACTGATTGTGAGAATGTCGAATTTGTTCATGTTGTGTAAACTGGACGTGTATAATGTAGCACATCATGTAAAATGTACAACTAATGGTATATTAAACCATAAACAGTATCCAGCATGTATGTATGTATGTATGTATGTATGTATGTATGTATATATATATATATGTTACAACATGAAACATCAGTATACCACCTATCATATTACATATGTATGAACATGTATGAATATGTATGTATATATGTAGAACTGTATCTTTTATGCCGCACACACACGTACTGTAAGATATAAGGTATGCAATTACCTGCAGGCCATGTATAGTATAGTATATAGTAGATAGTATATAGATGGAATATATAGCATGTAGCAGTAGCATCTATTCGCATATTCAAGCACAGTTGCATGTAGTATAGAATTTATAGTAAATATTTTTGTACATAGTACATAGTATACAGTGCATCATATACGGTATATCCTAAATCGCATATAGTACGTACATAGTATACAATAGGCAGTGTATAATGTTTAGTATACAGCATATTTATATATATAGTATGGGTTTACATGGCATAAAGTATATAATCTGTCGTAAATCGTTTCTAGTATATAGTCTATAGTATATAGCTTGTAGTATACAGTACATAGTATATAGTGTATGATTTATAGTATATGGTATGTTTTATAGCTTATAGTTTATAGTATATAGTATCTAGTATATAATATATAGGATATGGCACAAAGTATGTGGTATACAATATATAGCATGTAGTATACAGTACACGGTATATAGTACAGTACACTATGTACGATTTATACTATATTATGTATTTTAAAGCATAGTAACGTATACATAGTAGGTAGCATACAGTATGTAATTTGCAATATCTCGCGCCTAGTTTATACATGTATGTATACGCCTTGAAATATGGTATATAGTGTACAACATACACGATATGCTACAGAGGTTACAATGTGTACTGCAGCTGCTCATGTATACTGTGCGAAGCCATTTCGGCACAATTGCCACGAGAACAACCACAATGAGCGGCGGTTGTAGGTTTCGTCCTACGTCAGACAAGCTTTTGCCGATTACCAGTGTCACGTCTGTGGTAAGAACTAAGCAAACCCAGGGCGCTTTGGACCCTCCGAGCCTGGCTATTGAAAGTTCAGTCAAGGCAGAGGCACGTAAGAAGATGTTCGAAGCCTTGGGCACAAGCACTTTAAAGGCTGAGGGCGCTTGGAGTACCGTCTGTATCCATGCCTGCTGACAGTGGCGCTGAAAGAGATGGCGAGATCTGTGAGGCTGGTGCAGTTCTGTCCCGGCCTTCTTTTGCGCTTGCAGCATCGCTGAACTTCGAAGGGTACCTCGCGACGAGAACTCCTCGCTGACCAGACCGGGTCTGCACCCCGGGGCAGCTTGGAGTATCTAAGAATCGGGTAGAAGTCCGGTTCGTTTAGGCTATCGCTCGAAGCCGACCTGGCACAGCTGAAGAGGAGCCACTTGGGGTTGAGGTTGGAGCTGCAGCTGAGCAAATACTGGTGAGACCTTCGGCAGGACCGTCGCCGTCGCCAGCTTGAGCACCTTTTGCTTGGGCTACAACACGGCAATCGTCGCCGGGGCACAAACGGGAATTCATCAGGACGGCACTGGCTTAGCTCTGACGTGCAGTATGCCGGGCCATGTGCTTGACAAAGAGACTTGTAGAGAAATGGCTGCCAGGGTTTGCAGCATCGTAGTCACTCGCCTCCTTGCGCACTGCACTTGTGCTGTAATCATTGCTTTCCTGATTCGCGATTCTTCGGTATCGTCCGACCCTCGAAGCAGAGGAAGGCATGCTACCTCAACATTGAAACGGTTGCCCTTTAGTAAGAGGCCTGGGCAGACAAGGAGCAAAAGGTGGGAGCATATGCACTAGCACTGGGGGAGTCCTTGCTCACTGTATTTTAACAGCCCCGGAAGCTGTGCTGAGTATGCTGCCGGCTTTAATGCAGCCGTAGGAACAGGTACCAGCTGCACTTCGAACAGGGAACGAAGAGCCACGAGGTGGACGCAAGGTCATGGCCGATGTATTGTTCTTTCGTGACACCTCGCCCAACTCTCGAAGACGATCGCTCCCAAGTCCCCAAGAGTAATTATGTAGACTAACTTGTGACATCAACATGCGTGTTTCGCTTATGTTCATACGTATGTATGTATGTATGTCCTGTATATTCTTACATGTACATGAACACATCGGGATATATATGTCCGCACACAGATACATACACACATTGATATATGCATATATATATATGTGTGTGTGTGTACCCACAGATGTAAAGGTTTTCTTTACCTTTGGTTATTTGTTGGTTAAAGACATGTCATGTGAAGTTCCCGTTTGTCAACTTGAGCAACCTACTGTGAGCTGTTCTGTTATATGATACGTATACTAGATCATGCCGTGCTATATAATGATCATTGCTAAATTTATATTCTGTGCTATTCTTGTCTGCTCCATTCTATTCTATTCCTATTTTTACACTTCACTAAATATTCTGTTACCCTAAACCCTACAACCCTAAATCCCAACACCCTAAAACCCCAAAACCCTGAACCTGAACCCTAAAACCATAAAACCCCAAGCCCTAAAATACTGGGGCACTCCGCCTTGCAGGACTCCGACTTCGTGCACGGCAGCGGCCTGGCCTCGGGAGCCGCTCGGCCTAGACAACAAACCGAGAGAAGTGAGCAGGTCATATACGTATATATATATATACATACATAATATAATATAATATACTGTAATACAATATATTATTATGTTATGTGATGTTATACTATAGCCCTTCTATCTATCTGATTAAGGAAGAAATGAAACAACCACAGTGGCAGCAAAAGCAATACTAACAATACAAGCCACAACAACAGCGATGATCATGTTTACAATGCATACATACATATTTCCATAAGAATAGAGTTCAGCCATACATGCGTACATACATACATACATACATACATACATACATACGTACATATATACACATATTTATCGCATGAGAGTTACTTACATATACATGTCAATAGCTGAGCATATATATATATGCTGCATATATGTATGCATATTGAAGACCATATGTTGGTTTATGTAAGTAGGTCTGTATGTATGTATGTATGTATGTATGTATGTATTTATGGTTAGGGTTTTTGTCTATGATTATGTGAGTATGTATGTATGCATGCATGCATGCATGCATGCATGCATGTATGCGTGTATGTATGTACGTACACATGTATTTGTGTGTGTGTTTACACAAGCACGTATGTATGTTGGTTCTGCACGGCTGCATATATGTAGGTCTGCATGGATGTGTCCAAGTATGTATGTGTGTGTATGTGTTTTTAGTATTTTGTAGTGTATGTATGTACATGTAGATACATATACAGTACAATATACAGTGTGTACATATATATATATATATGTCTACATATATCTATATCTATATGTAGAGAGAGAGAGAGAGAGAGACAGACAGAGACGTTTCAATGCTCGGAAGAACGGTTCCATTTCTGTTTTCAGAGCATGTAATGCTAAACACCACAGAAAGCCGAGCTGCCATGGACATCTATGCATGCATGCACACACACATGTGCATATACATTATTCCTTTTCTATATATATATATATACACAGTCAAACATACATATATATATATATGTGTGTACATGTATAGAGGTGTGTTTGCGCATGTGTATGTACATATGTACATATGTACTTATGTACGTATGTAGGTATGCATGTATGTCTGTATGTGTAAGTAGTGTATGTATGTATGTATGTATGTTTGTTTGTTTGTTTGTATGCAAGTAAGTATGTATGTATGTGTGTATGTATGTATGTATGTATGTATGTATGTACATATGTATGTACTTATGTATGTATGTCTGTATGTTTGTATGTATGCACGCATGAACGTGATACGATATGCTCGTAATGTACTACGATGTCATGTACATCAACAACATAGCGTAATGTCGAAAAATGCGTTCTGTGTAGATTATGGCGTATCGAATGACGTATCAGGACAACCACCGTATGCTATACACTATGCAATAAGATAGTGCAATGTACTCCGATACACGATACATCACGATACAATTACATGCTGCATACTTCGAATGCATGCAACAATAGCACAATGTTCCATAAGAAATTATGAGATACATTACTACAACATAAGTGTACTTTTCTGGTACTGTGGTGGCGGCACATATCTTTCCGAATTGATTATTATGACGCCTGTACCACTGCAAGTTGCCTCCTGCACAGCCGCAGGCACTGCAACATGGATGCATGCATTCGGAGACCAAGCGTGCATGGAATGTTCCTGAGAGGTGCTTGTGAGCTCTGCGCTGCCTGCTGCAGCATTGGGGGCCTTCGGTGGCCAGGACCGCTTTGTCCTTGCGCGTTGTGGACCACGGCAGCCGGCTGGTTGGTGTGTGCTTTGGCTTGGTGTGCAGGTGGCAAACTTGGTGGGCCGTCGCAGAACTTTGCTTGCTGTAGCAAGCCTCTTTGCACTGGCACCGCTCGTGTCTTGGATCGAGACTGCGAGTGTTGGTGGTATGGCCCCAGGGTGCGGAGGGGTAGTGTAGTAGTGGGCATTGTAACCGACATCGTCTGCTTTCCACAATGCTGAACTTTTGTGCTGGGTAGTACTGCTTGCAAGCAGGTCTTCTGGGCTGACTTTGACTCATATTCTAGACTGGACTGCTCAAGATCACCAGGGATCATCAATGAGCCAAGGCAATGGCCGCCGCACCATCCTTCCTCTTCCTTCTAGCCGCCAGGCTCTGCGTAGCCAGCCCAACGCATGTGGTGGGACTTGCTTCACGGCCTTATAGGGATGCAGAAGCAAGTGCATTGCAAGAGGTTCCTGTGTGGACTGTCCATCGGCGTTTCCTCGGTGCTTACGAACCTCTACATCACAGAGGCCTCTTTGCCTTCCCACAGTGCTGAGTTTGGAGTCTGGGCACCCCGGAGTCTCCTCTACAGGTGAGTCCAGCTGTCTGCCGTGGACGCTTGGGCGGCTGGGCACCCTTCATTGGCACCAGTGGAATCCTCGTGTCCTACATAGTGTAGCTTGGTGAAAATTCGGGACCGGATTCTGGGGCGGGGAGCTGACACTGACCTTCAGCGCAAATCACGCTCTTCGCGCTTGGAGCACTGCAGGTCCTCAGCTCTGCAGCCTTTCCCATATCAGGCATGGAGGTGGCAGTTTGGCTTGGCAGTGTCTTGACTCGAAGCAGCTCCATTTGTTGGACAACGTTGCCTGGGTGCCCGTCAAAGTGGTAAAATGGCAGGTGCTACCTGCACTCCTGCAGCTGCTGCTGAGCCGACAGTTACCGGAAACTGGGCTCTTGTTAATGGAGTTTTGTTTAAGTTACCATGATAAGGAAGCCATGTTATTTACAATAGATCCTTATTATGCTATCTCAAATTAAATCCCTTAGCCCTAAACCCTAAACCCTGAATCCCATAGCAAGAGCCCAGGAAACTCCCCGCTGGCTTCTGGCACAGTCGCGGAAAGAGGACAGCAGTCACCCGTGGCCCTTGGAGTCGCAAAACCAAGAGAAGCTGCAAGTAGGATATAGGATGTAGGGTTTAGGGTTTAGGGTAGGATATAGGATGTAGTATAAAGTATACGGGCAGTTCTCTAAATTAGGGCAAATAGTGCGGCACCCTCATACAATGGACCCCAAAAGGGACCCTAATTTAGAGAGCTACCCATACAGTATAGCACACATCATATATATATATACACACTATATATCGTTGGTTTACAAAGTTATTTGCGCTCGACGACTATATATTATATACTACATACAACATTTAGTACATAGTATATAACATATACATACATACCTATATATATATATATATAACTATAACTATAGTATATATGATATGATATGTAGTAGATAGCCTTCGGAGGATGCCCGGCAGAGCCTCCAGCAGCTGTTTCCAAAGGCCCCAGCCCGGTCTCAAGTTGGGGCCGGGAGGGTTTGAAAGCGGCAAAAACAGGAAGGCTCCGTGTTGAGGGTTTTTAGGTTTAGGGTTTTAGGGTTGTAGGGTTTTGGGGGGGGTTCCTGATTATTGTTATCGTTATCATAGTATAAGAATATACCCCAAAAAACCCTATTCTACTTATTAAGGCCCAAAAACCCTAAACTTAGGGATTTAGGGGTTTTAGGGTTTAAGGGTCTTAGGGTGTTTTAGGGTTTAGGGTTTTTAGGGTTTTAGGGCCTTTGGGGCCTTCGCTCCTGGGAAGGCGGCCCCGAGCTGCGTCGACGAGGAGCTCTCCAGGTTGGAGGCCCCTGCCTTCCTCCCGGGCCCCCAGGGCTTGGGGCTTAGGGCTTAGGGTTTTTTTAGGGTTTAGGCTTCGGGCTTAGGGAGTTTAGAGTTTAGGGTTGAGGGCTTAGGGAGTTTAGGGTTTGGGGATCTTCCGTCCGTAGGAGCAGCTTTGAATTCCTTCCGCCCAAGAGGCTGACCTGGGCCACACCGCGGAGATGGCGGCCATCAGCTCTTGGAATCTCTGCTCTGCAGAGCACCGGGCGCCTGGACATGACCCAGTGGCACATATTAATGATACTATATTGTTATCCGTATTTATGTATATATGTATACATATACATATAGTGTAGATTGCAAACAAGAAATACGATATACAGTTTAAACTGTATACTTGTCATGGACGATTGTGCTCTGTGCTCTCTCCCTCTCTCTATATACACACCGTAATGCTATATGCTACAGTAGCTGGAGGCCTCCACACTTGTCGGAGTGGCTATCAACGTGCTCCAGCAAGTCTCGGGCATCAACGTCTTCATCTACTTTGCGCGTCAGCGTCGCGGTCGCAAGAGTACAGTATGGTATGGTATTGCACAGCATAGTACAGCATAGTAAAGTATAGCACAGTAGAATAGAGTACAAGACAGTATGTTATAGTAAAGTCAAGTACATTATCGAATATTATCGTAGCCTATAGCCCAGCACAGTACTGTTTTTTTTTCGTATCTTGGTAGAAAGGTTGGAACGGTCCCAAGAGAGTCCTGGCAGGATCCTGGAAGATGCAGGTTTCGGCCGATACTCCATGGTCTCCACCGTGCCGCTCGGTGCAAAGCAGAAGGGGCCCAAGAATCCCAAGTCTACCGTCTTTGGTATATGAAACCAAGATATGAATAGTATATATTTAATAGTAGGTTCTAGTATCTTATACTAGTCAGAAGGTTGTAGTATCTTATACTAGTTAGTAGGTTGATAGTATAACATAGCATATCAACAGTATGTCAATAGTATATGAATAGTTTATTGCAGTATTATTGTAGTATATTTTGGTATGCTAACAGTAAAGTAACACTACTCAGTAGTATATTATAGTATTTTTTGCAGCTTACAGTCTGTTATCGTATATTTGGTATATGGTCCTTTGGTAATGATTCGACATGTGAGGTTGGTGAGCTTGATCCAGCTCACTGCTACGGCGGTGCGGGGCCTGAGCTTCGGAATCTGACGTCATGGGTTCAATCCAAGAAGCCATGATTACTCTCAGGACTATTATTGCTACATCACTATTGCTATGCTTATTATTATTGCTATTATCAAGAGTATTGTCATTATCTATGTTTGCATTCTTTCGAATATTTTCAGCATTACCAGACAAGAAGAGTAATTCAGATCCAGCAAAGGTGCTGATCCAATTCATTGATCGTGTTGGGCGCCGGCCGCTGGCTTTGATCGGCCTTGCCGGGATGATGGCCGGCCTTCTGCCACGTGGATTTGTAATATATATATATATATGTATGTATGTATGTATGTATGTGTGCATTCTACATGCGAGATCTCATATACTAGATAGTAACTATACAGTATATAGTACATCGTGTTTTTTAGTATTTAGCATTTAGTATGTAGTATATAGTATATCATATATCGTATATAGTATATAGTATGTGGAATATTGTACATAGCATATAGCATATGGCATGATATATATATATATATATACATATATATATACACATACATACATACATACATACATACATACGCACGTACGCATGCACGCGAATCGTATGAACAATGTAACATTTAATATAACCACTGCATACTACTGTTGAGGATGTAAATCTTGAACTAGGGGAGTGATGGTTATATTTCTTATTCCGGGTAGTGCAGGATTTATATCATCAACCGTATGTTACAAACGTATATGCTGGACTCGAGCGCCCAGGCTGGTGATCGCAGGCTCATTGGAGCGCGGTGCAGGGCTGGAGGTGACTTTCACAGCCCGGGCCCGAAATCGCTATGAGTACCATAGTAGATTATATCGTGTCTTGTTATATCTTAGTATGTTATAGTATATTCCTGTATAATTTAGGATATTCTAGTATATTAAACCCTATTTCAGTGTATTATGGTTTGGGGGGGGGACCGAGGCCTGGTTTTCGCTGCTGGGAATGCTGCTGTTTCGGGCTGCCTTCTCGCTGTCCCTGGGCCCGTGCTCGCCTTGGAGCTTGTTGCGTCCGATGGTGCCGGGAAGGATAGCATGTAGTGTATATATATATATATGTATGTATATATATATATGTATAGTATGTAGGACATAGCATAGGTTATATGTAATGCATAGTATGTATATAGTATATAGTAGTCTGCGCAAGGCTGTTGCTGAGATGGTGCGGAAGGGAGAACAGAAGGAGGGAGGATGGGTCTTGGAACGGCTTTGGGTTTGGATGTGGGGGCGGCATTTGGAGGGCTGTCGGAGTGGCTGGCAGCTCGTGGCAGTAGCCGAAATTCGCAGGATCGAGGATAGCAGCCGCAAGTTTCGTGCAGCTCCAAGGCTGCCCTATGTCATGACCTCCGAGTTCTTTAAGCAAGAGGCAAGGGCAGCAGGACACCAGGGTGAAGCATGTAGGGTACCATATCAGGGTCCCCTATTTTCGGAAACCCCCATACGGAACCCGTGGCTACCCGGTTCTTCATTGGGTGCGGGAAAATCGCAGCGAGGAGTTGGCCTTTGCTGGGCCATGAATTGGCTTGCCAACTTCGCGGTCTCTCTGAGCTTCCCAGTGCTAGCAGAGGCAGGGCTGCTCCTAGACTTAGATCCACGAGTATAGCACGAAAGACTCTGAGAGTTTGCTTCGCCCGGTGAAGCTGATAAACATCAAGGCGACCGAAGCAAGGGCTAGCTGCGTTCTGCAAAGACCAGAGAGTTTGCCACGATGGGAGCAGCTGCTGAAGTCTGCGAAGTGGTTCGCATCTACTGGCCGCTCTTGTTGGGCAACGTCTTGGAGTGGTATGAGCTTCTCAACTTGAACTGTTCAAACTCACATACCGGAACTGCGATGCGCGTCAAGTTGTTTTGATGGCATCACAGAAGCGATGCTTCTGGTAGATTCGGCGTGGGACTGCATCTGCATGCATGGATGGTAAAAGCCCTGCATGCAACAAGGTTCGCCATGTTCGGTTTCCTGGAGCCCTACTTCCAGACCAACTTCTTTCATGACTCAGCCGTCTCCACCTGGTGGGCGGTTCTTGCGGCAAAACTCTTTGAAGCGACGCCTTCTGTAGTTTTGCTAGAGCTTCTTAGTGGCGAGTGCGGTGGCTCATGGTACGTGTTGTACGTGAAAGGCTTGGATTCGCTTGCACCTTCCTTGCGCGCCCATTCGGTGGCCTGTTCATCGGCTTGCTGGGCGATGTCTTTGGCCGCAAGGTCTCTGCCTTCGTGTCCATCTTCGGGATGCTAATCGGTCACCCGGAAAGTTCGAATTGCCTGGTGTTTTGCAGAATAGTTCCGCGGGCCGCGTGAGCGAAGCGTTTGGAATCTCGCTCTCAGGCACCGTCGGCCAGGGCCTGCTACCCAGCTACCGGTGTGGTGACCTCGCTGGCCATGTGGGCTTTGTCCTGCTGATAGCACTGCGGATCTTACAGGGCATTGCCACAGGCTCCTTGCCAGTCGAAGCATCTGCACGCTCTTCGCTTTCGGCATGGAGAATCATGCGCGCTGTAGGCTGTACATACGATCTGCCTGCAGAGGAGCCAAACCTTGTGCTCAAGTGTGCTGCCCGCAAGGTGGGGAAATAGCCGCAGTCTCCACCTACATCACGGAGGTGGGCTCCCAGCGCGTGCTGGCAAGGTCCATGGCCCTGTTGGGAGTTACTTGCAGCATGGGTGCCTTCCTGGCACAGTTGGCAAGCTACCTGGTTGTTTCAGTGTTCGGCGCCTCGACACTTTTCGGCCCTGTTGGGAATACCGCAACAAACAGCAACATCTTGCAAGTGTTGGCCCGAGCTTTCGAGCTTGAGCTGTCAGGCGAGGAGGCCGCATCTGAGTGGGCTTGGCGGCTGCCGTTTCTCACCGCCATCATCCCTGGCCTGATTTCAGCACGAGGGCGTCATAACATGCCGGAGTCGAAAATCTTCCTGGACCAGAACACTCGTAAGAGTGCAGGCCGAAGCCCCGAAACATCTCGAAGCCTTTGCATGTCGCAATGCAGCAGGAGCACATGTAGCCTGCCACTGTCACTGCAGGCTTGGACACAGCCTCCGGATCATTGCGAGGAGTAGCGGGAAGACTTCATGCCGTCTTAAAGTCTCATTCTGCGGCACTCACACTGGGCACCCTATCTGTTGCTGGCCCAGCCATGCTGGCTTATGGTGGCTATGCTTGGGGGCTAGTCTATCTCCGCAAGCACGGCGCCTCACAAGCAAGCCTGATTCTGGCCGGAACGGTCGGGCGCGGAACCGCGATCCTTTTGGCACCTCTTGTAGGTTGGCTGGCAGACACGCGAGGCTGGGGCTCCAGTGATGCACCCCTGAGAAGGGGAAAGGCTGGAAAGGGGTTAGCGCCTAAGCTCACCAGCTGTCGGAGAATGTGAAAAGCTACCGGATAGAGGCAAGTTATGGCAAGTTACATGGCATTGCCTTTTCATCTGCGTCTCGAGGCAGGCGTCACGTCCAAACAAGTATCTTTAACCAGGACATGCCTCTTTGTTGACGTGAGACCGTGCATGATCCGGACGAAACTCCCGCAGACTCCGACTATTTCCGGGCAAACTCAAGGATATTTGTGAGGCTGCGAAAAGACAGGTCTGCCGGCGTGATGATGCGTGGGCATTTCAGGTTGCCGGCTGCGTCAAGTATCGTGAAAATGTTCGTTTCTTAATCTCTCCAGGGACCCTTTGGATCGTTCCACCCAGTTCAAGATGCAACGAGGCAGACCACAGCACTCCTTGGAGAAAAGATGCAGCAAAGGAGGTGGAAGGACGCGTCGGTCCAGTGACCGTGACACTGTACGGACAGAGATGCCAACAGGATCAACGACAGACGCCGACTGCAACACAGCAATAGACTGAAACGACTGCCGTGCGTTGCCACTAGTTATTGAGGAACAACGAACCTGCCATGGATTCGCCACCTGAAAGCAGAGATTGCCAGCCCTTGGACGCCACACTTCCTGCTCCCCCGAGCATATATTCAACTGCATGTGTGGTCCTGAGCCTTTGTCCAATCTTTGCTGCAAAAGTAGACAGGAACTTGCCATCTAATTCTTGATCAAGTTGATACAGGAGTTTGCCACTCTTTTGCCCTAGTAGTGGCAGGCACGCCTTGCCGTCACAGTCGAGCGGTAGCTGGAGAGGGTTTGCCTGGACTTGGCCTGTTTGTGTGTTGGGGGCCGGATGTGTTTATGGACCAGCATTGTAAGCCGTTCCCCTGCGAAGGTGTAGCCTGGAGTCAGTTCTTCGGGTCCTGCATGCTGGCGCTGGCGGGCATTCCCTTCTTTCTCGCCATCGTGCGGAAGCTCGCTCCCAAACCCTAGGTATAATATAATAATATACTATAATATACTATAATGCTATAAGCTCGGCATTGGAAGGCAGGGCTTGCAGTTGCTACCAGCACCAAGGAGCCCGGACGTGTTCGAAGTCGTGGTCTTCGCATTCGGGCTGGGATATGGTGTCCTCCTGGCGTTTAACACCATGGTGCTGCTCTTGCACGTAGTTGAGCTGTTCCCGGCCTCTGTTCGAAATGTCGGCGTGGGGACGAGCTACAATGTTGGAGTGTGTTTGTTCGGAGGATTTGCACCTGCGTTGTTTGAGCTCTCGCTGAAGGTGAACCCTTTGTTTCCCGGAGTCTTACTCAGCCTTTCCGGCTGCATTCCGGCGCTGGCTATACTTCTCGGCCTGCGATTGCAGGCCCGGGGCCTTCTCCGCCTAGCGCACGTCCGGCCAGCTCCATACTTCGGACGCTTGAAGCCGTGCAAGGAATGTCAAACAGATCTCTCCGGCGTCGTAGATGCAGGATGCGAGATGCAGGACACAGGGACGATCCCTGCTTCTGCGACATCCAACTAAGAGAAGCTTTCTTCTCGGGGCGGCTGCACGCAGGTGCACCCTCTCGTAAAGATTCAGAGGAGAGCAATCTTTACGAAGCGGCTCAGCAGGGCAGAGCAGCATGCCCTTCTTGCTCTTGCCGCACTTTTAAACCCTAAAACAGCGACTAACTTCGCGAGGGGTGAGGGCCACAAGGGCTCCTGCACCCGAAAAGCGCAAGATGCTGTGAAAAGCCTGATGTTGATGTTTCGCAGAATTCATTTCTCAAATGTAGTGACATAGGGCAGCGACATGCAGTCTGCTGTAATCGCGCATGGTAAAGTAGAACAAACGTTTAAGTAGCTGCGCAGTTCATCAGGCAGTTCCTGGAGCCTCTGGACAGGCCGAAATTTTCTGCGCGACGCTTGGATTTTGGGAGCCTAAGGTGCAGCCTTGCAGCCAGGTTTTGTCGGTTGGAGAGATGAGTACTGAGGGTTTAGTTTTTATGGGCCTCTAGAGCCAGTCATAGAGTAATGTGCATCCCTTGCAAGTCCATGTGCCGAATGCTCATCCAGGCATTTACCTGTTCTTCTGTGTGGTGGCCCTGGCTCTGCTGACCCGATTACCACGGACGGTTTAGGGAGTTTGGGGTTTAGGGTTTAGGGGTTTAGGACTTAGGGTTTAGGGTTTGGGGTTTAGGGTAGCACTGCGCTGAATGATTTTTGTATGCTCGCGCGTTGTGCCAGGTTTTCGTTTACTTCCTCCTGCCTGAGACCAATGGAGTCCGGCTTGAGGCCGTCACGGCCCGTCGTCCGCAGGAGGCACGCCCGGGGCGCGGCTTGCAAAAGTTTGGCTCGTACTGGGCAATGCAGAGCGCAGTTCGATGAAGTTCGCTCAACATCCCAACTCCTTCCAACGCCTGTGTTGGGTGCCGTCGCGTCGTCTAGCTTTATGGGAGTCGATTTGGAGGCTAGTGTCAAGCTCGACTCATGTATGTGGAGGCCATGCATACAGATTATATAGACGGTGAAAGCGATGTGGCAATCCACGCAGCTGGAAGCTGGCACGACGCGACGCTACCCGACTTTTGAGTCAGCGGGCCAAGGGGCCGCGAACGGCCCACAGCAACCTGAGTTAGGACCGTCAGGCATGAGGTTCATGTCTCCCAGGACTGCCTGAACATGTGGAATTGGGAATACACGGTTCGAACAAAGACCTTTGCAGACTCGGCAGTGGGAACAGCAACTGCGATCTGCACCCTCTCGCACGTCTGCTCTTGTCAACCTTAATCGAAACTTAATGTCAGTTTGACCCTTCTGTGTAGCAGCCATGCACATGCTGATATCCACGGCCCTGGTGAGGCTGACTGCGAGCCCAGGACCCCGCCATAAGGCGCCGTGGCCTCGGCTGAGGGCGGCAGTGTGGTCCGTGATACGTGGTGATGGTGGTGGTGCTATCTTGACGAAGCTTGTGTGTCTGAGTGTGTAGCCCGGTCCTTCGGCCGCAGGCTGGGCTGGTCCTGGGAGCCGTTAATGAAAGCTTTAGGACGACAGCCTGTTGCCACCCGATCTCACATGTGGATCGGGGCTCTCCCACCTACAGCGGCTAATGCTGGAGGTGTGCTGCACGCATGCAGGGCATGTCAGGCAAAGATCCTTTTTGAGATGTCATAGTCCGTAGTATCATTCTGACAGGCCTTTGCTCAAGATTTAAGAGCAGCGATGCTCAAAGCTTTAGCATTGAAAGTACCTGACGCTAGACGTTTGGTCGGCTGCTGGAGTGAAACTTGCTTCGTGGCTCCTTCGGTGGAGGCCGGCACTTCCGACATTCTGAACAGGGTTTGCTACCACTAGAATTACGATGATTGCTATAGTTACTATATCTACTCTATCTATCTATAATCTATATATATATATAATTTTTACTACTATTACTGTTCCATTACTAGTACTACGCTTAAGTAACACTAGTCGGCAGCCAGCACTGGGCGAGCTGCAGCTTGCAGGAGGATGCCGAGCTAGGCATTTCGTGCTCCTTGACTGTTCCTGTGCATCCGCAGCGGGGCAAAGCCTTTACAAGGATCGGCAATGTGATGCATGAAGGTCATGGACGGAGTTTGCAGCATCTCCATGGCCCCTGTTATTCCTGGCCCCAACGCAAACCTCACGTCACACACATGTCCCAAGGCCTGACACATCCTGGGTTAAGACACACGAGGAATAAGTGTAGGAGTCGCGTCCATCGTCAGGGCCTTGTGACCCGCCTCGCCTCGATGGGCCTGCAGCAGAGCCGGGTGGGCCTGAGCAAATCTTAAATTTAAGCGCAAAAGGGATCCAGGGGAGAAGGCTTGACTGATGGCCTCTCTAGCGGTGTACTACAGTAACGGCCCCCACAAGGATAGCTCCTTCACGAAGGGGGGGCTTTTGCATTGGTCCATACTTGACTGTGCGTGTGTGCGTGTGCATGTGCATGTGTGCTTGCATGTTGTGGGAGTGTGAACGACTGTGAGAAAACACTGCTAGCCGGGCGATGTGTGCATACTTGCTATTCGTCTTCACAGGTAGCCAACGGGAACATCAATACCTTTACGGTTCCAGGGACCAAGTCACGTTGTCAGGTCGTCAGAGGGGTGATCCGTTGGCAGTCGGTCGATTCTGCCACAGCTTTGTCAGGAGAGTGCGAGCAAGTAGTGAAACGTAGTGAGCGCGTCCAGGATGAGTGAATAGGTGAGCGAGGGAGCGAGCGCTGAAGTCTCTTTGCCAGCAAAGCATCTTCGATGTCTTCGAGCTGGGCTACCCGATCGGGAGCGGGAACTTCGGCCAGGCAGGTGGTCACGGCACTTTTTCTCGACGAGCTGCGAATCCTCCGACGCCTCGGAGGTCCTACTTTGTACCCGGCATGACCAACCGTCGCAGGCGGCTCGCATCGACGCACGTTCTGGCCACCATGAGCTCACGCTATCGTTGCCAGTCCTATGCTGTCAAAGTCGTGGACATGGACAGCCAGGTATCAAAAGCGATGGAGGCTGGTGGGTTTAAGTTGCCCGAAATTGCCAAGATTGTTAGTAGGGGCTAGCAGACCCAGAGCTGCATGCGGCGCTCACACGTTTCCACACCGGATCATGCTGGAAGGCTTTCAAATCAGCCAGGGCGGAGGCAATTCTGGGACCGTTGTGACCTGCACAGCAGCAGTCGAGAGTGCGAAGAGCGCAGGTGTAGGCTGTCGGTTCCATCTGACATCGGGAGATGCCCTGCAGTTGGATATCATGAAGAGGCTGGACCATCCCAACATTGCCGCCTGGCTCTTCAAACAACGTATCAGATAAAACCGAGACCGGATGTAACACAAGAAACGGTCGAAACCAGGGTTTGGAACAGCAGGTTACCTTGCTTACATACCAAATACTTGGAGAAGTGGGGTTATAAGTAGGGTAACTGTAGTTATAGCCCATATTAGGGGACTTATAACCCCACTTATAGCTACCCATGAACCTCCAAGTACGCCGTTGTAAGGTAAAGCTCATCCAGGTCTTTCAGGCTCGCTGCCACTGGGACTGGGCACGGTCACGTGCAATGAGTGTGTCTCCGTTCCCTCGCTTAGCTTCCTTCGTGTTTATGCATATGGGTGTGGATGCTGTGCCCTAAACCCTAATACCCGAATACCCTAAAGCTATGGCTTGTCATGGCCGTGACCCCAAGACAGACCTGCATTCTGCCGTGCCATTACCTCGGCTCAAGCCTGTCTGGAAGAAATCGCTGCTTGGAGTTCTACCTTAGTGTAATCAGCGTAGCATGCGCAGATACAGTGCTGATTTCTTCTGGACATGGCTGGCCACTATGCAGTGTTTGTGTACAAGTTTGAGTGCATAATGAAGCCTCGTTTGGCTTAGGCTGCAAGTCATGTGTACCAATCTTGCAGGAATAGCACCTGAAGTGAGCTGCAGTGTATGTAGAGCAGGTTCTTTGAAGATGGGGGAGGAATTGATCAGCAATCCACGAGCGGGAGACATGTCTCTAGAATGGCGTTGCCTAGCATGGCCTGCTGCCTGGCTTTCCGCGACTGCCTGTTTATAGTGCCTTGGAGCGTCCTAAACCCTAAACCCTAAACCCCTCTTCCCTAAACCCTAAACCCTAACTTCGACGGTTGAGGGTAGTGAAGAGCTGTGTGCAACAAGGAGAAGTAGTCGCCCCCATCGTGCCGAGGTTCTTCCAACCTTCCTATGTCTTTAAAGGCGGTGCGAATCTGGGAAGTCATTGGTGGCGCAATTTCTGGTGGTCTGCTGGTGCGCACGGGCAGAGGACTAGGCCTGGACAGCAAGTAGCGACTTTTTTTGAAGTATAGATGAGTTTATGTTGCATAAAGGAAAGACGCTGACACCTTGGAATCGGGAGCCTGGAGTTTTGCCTCTGCCGCAGCAGTCTTTCGAGAAATCGCATGCAGCGAGATGCGGGCAGCCGTGATCATCCGAATCATGTCCATCAGCCTTTGAATGGGAAGAGGAGTTCCCTAAGCCCTAAACCCTGAACCCTAAACCCTGAACCCTACACACAGACAGAGTCAGACCACGAAAAGGGTATTGGTACTTTGCAACTGACAGCACTCCTGTTGACTCTGATGACAGGTTCTGGCCGCGAGCCACAGCGCTTGCGGACAGGTGGGCTCTACATAATAATCACAGTCATATTCATACTAAATAGTAGCAACCCGTGTGCACGTGGCTGCTGCCAGGCTCCGTCGTCGAAGAATTGGAGCTCGATGGCGACAGACTCCATTACAAGCCGCCGGCTCATGAGAAGGGCTCTGTCCTGGCAGTAGGTCATTAGCAGTGACGCCCATCTGTTAGGCTGCTGGAAGGCGCTGGGCCAGTTCACGGTTGGGTCAGCACGAAACTCAATGTGTCCCAGCAGCATCTTGCTGTCTCTGCTGCTTCTTTGCAGACCCCACGCTTTTTTGGCGCTTGATTTCCCCCCAAGCACTAAACCCTAAACCCCAAAGTCCCAAGCCCTAAACCCTAAACCCCAAAGTCCCAAGCCCTAAATCCTAAACCCCAAAGTCCCAAGCCCTAAACCCTAAACCCTAAAGCCCCAAGCCCTAAAGCTTTCTCTCCTTTTCTTACCTGAAGGACCGAGACCTGCTCCAGCGGTGCACGTCCACGGCCTCTGGGAGAAGAGCGGGAAACTCCAAGGAGCCAAGAAGCCTAAACTTGGCGGATCTTGACGGCCAACTCTGAAGTTTGAAGGGGTTTAGGATTTTGGGCTCAAGGGTTTAAGGGCTTACAGGAGGGTTTAGGGGTTCTCTACCCCGATTCTGATCCTCAGAGGGTGCTACAATGGGCTGAAGCTTGGGGCAGGAGAAGTTGCAGAACGCAGCCACGTTGCAGGTTGCACAAATGGAAGCCCGGCATGCAGCTGCTTGTAGCAGTTTGTGCCATTGCCAGGTCTTGTCGTTCAGGTATCGTGCAGGTTGGAAGATGCCCTCCAAGTGAAATGTCCTTCACGCAGCATAGTCGCCCCATCAGCGACCTTGAAGCGGAATCAGCTTGCGTGAGTTTCGAAACTACATCAGCCACGACTGATCAACACAGCATTGGATGCACCAGATCTTGCGATTCATAATTCATGTTCGTAAGACAACCCCCAGCTTCTCCCTGATGACAGACGCAAGGATGTGCTTGCAATCGCACTGAATGTGGCTTCGCTGGTGCAAACGGGGCCGCACTTCAAAGTCACAAAGGCAAATCCTGCCATGATCAAAGGTGGGTTTGATGACTTTCTGGCTGTGCTTCCTGACAGGTGTGCAGCGAGAGATTGCTGGAAATCGCCCCCAGCGACAAGAGCGTAAGCGCCTTCAGCAAGATTAAAGCTGTATGTTCCAATTGTGGTCATGATTCATGATGTTGCCTCGATTTGGTTTTCTTTGTCATTGCTTTTCTGCATGTTACAACTCTCTGCGGACGCTCCCTCGCTCTCTCTCTGTCTCTCTCTCGTGGCTCCGCATGAGCAGTCAAGACATGAAGGTCATTAAACATGCTCCCTGCTTGCGCACATTCATGTGCCTATGCAGGACATGTTTTTGGGAAAAGATTCTGACACAAGCAGCACCTGCACATGCAGACACTGACACTAGTAACAAAGAAACAAACACAGACACAAAGACACAAAGACACAAAGACACAAAGACACAAAGACACAAAGACACAAAGACACAAAGACACACAGACACACAGACACACAGACACACAGACACACAGACACACAGACACACAAACACACAAACACACAAACAAACAAACAAACAAACACACAAACACACAGAGACAGACAGACAGACAGACAGACAGACAGGCAGACAGACAGACGGACAGACAGACACAGAGACTGACACACACACACACACAGACACGCGCGCGCGCCCCCGCGCAAGCACACGCACGCGCGCACGCACGCGCACACACACACACAAACAAACACGCACGCGCGCGCACACACACACACACACACGCACTCTCACACACTCAGGTTAATGCATTCTACCTATGGATTGCTGTGCACGCCCAGGTCCGCAGATTGTGCCAGGGTTGGGAGCATAGAGCCCCGATTCCTCCTGCGACCTACGGCCGAAACCCTCAAGGTCAGGTCTTTTCTCGTGACGATCATCATCAGCATCACTACAAGGGTCAGCTGCGTCGGATATTGGGACCATATCGTCAAGGCCCTGACTGTCCATTGATTCCGACACCATCAACAGGACCTCAAAGTTCAAACTACGGCCAAGCTTCATTGGTGAGCGTGATGAAGCCATCGCAGATGAGCGGGACGGTGGTGACCTAGCACCGGCGGAGCGACAGGACTTGCGGAAGGGTGGCCATCGCAGCCATCACAACATGAGCAACATCAGCGGCAGCAGCACCATAGTCATCGTTCTCATTACCACCGTTGCCGTGGCAGCACCATCATCGCGTCAGCATCATTCGCATCATACCAAAGCAGCAACAGCTGCAGGCGGCATAGACTGCCGCAAGAGAAGTCGTCAGCATCATGAATACCGTCAAAGTCGTCACCGCCCACGCAGACCCAAACATCGCAAGCAACAGCAACCAGCAGAGACTTGCTACCAACAGCAGAAAAGCATTAGCCACCATATCACAACCACTATCACCATAACAGCAAAAACCGGGAGAAGGAAACGATCAGTAGCTATACTACTAGGATTACCATCAATAAGGCAAGGACAAGGATTGGCATACTAATCGAGTAGAACCAATGCAGATAGCACGCCAACGGCATCGTCATTCTCGTCGTTGTCGCTCTCACCGCGCCGATCACCATCAACAACATCATCAGGACGTCTGGTTCATTTACCATGGATATGCAACCACCATGGGCATCATCATCATCGTCGTCGTCGTCGTCATCGTCATCGTCATCATCATCACCACCAGCAGCATCACCATCAGCATTAGGAGCACCACGGTGTGTATCATCATTACAACTTACCCACTACCTTCGTCATTACCATCATCATCATCATCACCATCATCATCATGATCACTTGTCGCCCTCGTGGTCACTACCATCAACATGAATAACACTTCATCTTGTCACGCGGGTGATGTCTGGACCTCCGACAGAACCGCACCAACGAAGACTCCAGACAGTTGCTCAAAACTTCCGGCCATGGGAGCCTTGTTCTTGAAGGCAGTCACAATTTCTCCCGCACCTCGGTGCAGAAGAGCTGTACATTGGAGAAAAAGATGTGCATCGCACAACTTACAGTAGTTTCTGCTGACAATTGCAATGGTAGGGTCAAATCTCCTGAGCTTCGGAAAGAGCCGGCAACCTCTGACCCTGGCGCAGAAGTACCCGATGAGCAGAGAAGACTCTAGTCATCCTACAACAAAGACAACTGGATGGCTTGAAATCCCCGGGCTTCTGCCCAACTCATAAACCCTAAACCCATTTTGAGCAACATGCTCGGGGAGCCGGGATGCTAGAAGAACCTTCCCTGCAGACTTAGGTCTGGCGGTTACGCTTCCGGTGATTGGGGCTACCCTAACCTGTGAAACCCTAAACAAAATCGGGATTTTGCCCTAAGCCCTTAAACCCTCAGGCCCTGCAATTTCTGGTTACTGACCCCCCCGACCCATGTTGGATCTTGTTTGAAACTCGAGGGAAGCCGCGACATTCAAGACATTTCAGATCATACGGCTTTAGGTTTAAGGTCTGGGGTCTAGGCCGTGGGACTGACTGTCCAGCTTTTGAAGTTTTCAGGGCTTTGGCTTGCAGAGTGGTTTCAAAGTTCAGGATTTAGGGCTCCTCGGGATTGCCATCAACTTCGAGGCTCTAAACCCTAAATCCTAAACCCCTCCCTAAACCCTAACCCTTCAGGTACCTACTATAGAGGGTACTAGAGCCCCTAGGGCCCTATATAGTAGGTACCTGGAGGGTTAGGGAATCAGATTTGAGGCTCTAAACCCTAAACCCTAAGCCTAAACCGCTAAACCCCTAAACCCCTAAAGCCCCAATCCCTAAATCTTAAACCCCTCACCAACCAGATGCCTGACAGGGCACACCACATGCGCTTCAACAACTCTGGAGTCTGGACGGTCACCACGCTCCTCAGCTAAGCAACCCTGCTCCTGCGACTAGAGCTCTCGGTTTAGGTTTCAGGGTTTAGGTTTAGGGTTTAGGGTTTAGGCTTTAGGGTTTAGGCTTTAGGGTTTAGGGCTTCTACCACGATCACCACTGCCACCAAAACACCACCACCAGCACCAACTACACCACGGCTACTCCTGGTACAGCTGCAGTTGCTGCTACGTACCTTTGTATGTATGTATGTATGTATGTATGTATGTATGTATGTATGTATGTATGACTGTCTGCCTGTTGTATGTATGTATGTATGTATGTATGTAAGTATGTATGTATGTATGTATGTATGTAGGGCTCAGAACACCCGAGATCCTAAACCCTAAACCCAGAAGCCCTAAACCCGAGATCCTAAGCCCTAAGCCCGAGATCTTAAGCCCTAAACCCGCGATCCTAAACCCTAAACCCCAAAATGCAAAACCCTAAACTTAAACCCTAACCCCTAAACCCAAGATCCTAAACCCAAAACCCCAAAAAAACCCAAACCCGAGATCCTAAACGCAAGCACGCCCAGCGTCTTGGTCGTGGCACGGATCGTGTCGAAAATCAGGTCCAAGTCCTGACATGGAGTAGGGTTTAGGGCCTGAAAGGTTTAGGGCCTTAAGGGTTTAGGGGTTTAGGGTTTAGGGCCTTAAGGGTTTAGGGCCTTGGGCGTAGGGCCTTAAAGGTTTAGGGCCTTGGGTTTAGGGTGTGGGGTTTAGGCTTTGGTAGGGTTTGGGTGTAGGATGTATGTATGTACGTATGCATGTATGTATGTGTTATATAGACGGATAGATAGATGGATAGGGTTTAGGACTCGGGTTCAGGGTTTGGGGTTCGGGGGGGACTCAGGGTTTTTGAGTTTTCGGTTTATGGTTCGGGGGTTTGGGGTTTGGGGTTCGGGGCTCTTGGTTTGGGGGTGGGAGTCGAACAGTCAGCGGAGCTCGAAAACGTCTGTTAGTAGATTGCTGCTGTTTATGAGATAAATCCTGCATTACCTTAAGGACCCTAAACTATGGGAACTACGATAATCAACCGTGTCTACGCATGTGAAAGTAAGTAGCGTTGGGAACTGCAGTGGCCTTATATTCGGGCCAAGAAAGCAGTGGTAGCAATAGAAATTTAACTGCTGCTTAAGCAGCGTGCATCGTAATGGCCGAGTATAGACGATAGAATCCCTAAAACCATATACCCTAATCCCTAAACCCTAAACCCCCCAAGTCCCTCAACCCTGCAAGCCTACACCCTAAAAACCCTAGAAGCCCCAAAACCCTCAAAGCCCTAAAAGTCCTAAAACCCTGAAGCCCTAAACCCCTGAACATCCCTGAACCTAAACCCGACTCCTAAACCTCAGGTCAAGTGCTACGGTTGATGAGATAAATCTGCATGACCTTAAGGACCCTAAACTATGAGACTTGACCCTGAACTATGGGAATTATGGTATAATCCCTATTATGGGTAATGCAGGATTTATATCATCAACCGCAGCACCCTTATAGAACCCCAAACCCTAAACCCCAATAAGGAACCTTATAGTACCCTTATAGAACCCTAAACCCTAAACCCTAATAAGGAACCTTATAGTACCCTTTTAGAACCCTAGACCATCAACCGTACCCCTAAACCCTAAACCCTAAACCCCTAAATCCTAAACCCTAATTATAGTACCCTTATAGAACCCTAGGCCCTA